TGTTGTAACCATTACTAAAAGGGTGTAACTTGAATGATGAAATTGCTCGTTAATTCTTTTGTTTTGGAAATCATTTGGTCACTTTTGATAGAAATCGGTCAGTATAATGAGGTCAGAAATGTACAAAAAGATGCATAGACGGCTTGCAGTGCAAACATCATGCATGAAAGAAATTGGGAGAGTTCAAGGACGTAAATTTATGGTAGGTAGTTTTACTTGTTCCTTTATTGAGGGTCAGAATTACTCACTAAAACCTATTTTTGTGAATTTGATCATTTTATTGATCAGCTATCTTGCCGTTCTTTTGTTAAAACATCAGTTCCTTGTGAAAAAGATACTATAAAAACACTACGTCATTTTGAAAATTTTTTGTTCGTTTTGATGTTTGGGATGCAGCACTCAAAAGTTTGATAGCAGAAACTCTGAAAGCTTTGAAATCTAAAATTTAATGTTTTGTGTTGAGTTGATTCTCGTCACTGTGTCACTCTGTAGGGGAACAAGGCAATTCCTACATTATCAACATCGAAAAAAATAGAACGACCAAATATTTCACAGCAGAGAAAAACAGCAGTGATGGTTCCTACCGGAAGAGATGAATTGAAGAAGGCCAAAGTAACTGCTTTTAAATATGATGAAGAAATATTTAAATATTGCCTAATAAAAACAACTACTATTAAATCTTTTATACTGTAGATCCATTTTTTGATGTTTGTAAGCCCTTAGCTTCAATACTCTTTACTTATTTGCAGAATGTAGGGCTGCCGGTGATTCAACATGGCGTATCGCGGGAAAGCCTATCCTCCACAAAAGTTGCAAATGGAAGTGATGATGCTGCTGTAATGTGTTTATTTGATCAGGCAATCTCAGAAAGCAACTATGATGACAAATTACTGGAAATAATCCAGAAGTTCCAAACACCAGCCATTTCAGTAATATCTTGCGAGAAATTAGCTGAATGCTGTGTCAAGGTAAGCACCATTTCAAGTTTATTGAACTGCTTATTAGGAATATGAATGCAGGGAATTTAGTAATACATTAAAATAATGTTTTTCTATTTCCATATGGAAGAGATCCTAAAATGCATCGAAATATGACCAAATTTTATTTAGAGAGTTTTTTTTTTTTTTTTTTTTTAGTTTATAAGCAAACTTGATGTCGGCAATATGTGGCATAGTGTCGTGCTTGCAGTTCGTTATTGGTCAGGTAAACAAAGGTACGGGTGTACAGCTGGTGAAGTTCTAGAACTTCATCAAGTAGCATCGTCAAAAGAGCGAAATTTCATCGAAGTATTACATCAGTTGAGTGGTGAAGTGCACTGGAATGATGTTATTTCATTTTTTCTGTGGTTAGTCTGTTGGGAATTAAAGTAGAACCATTGCATACAACTTGTAGTATCAGCCTAAAAGCCATCGCTGATTATTGTTGTTTTGACGGTCTTTTCAAAAGGAATTTTAAGCTGCTGATTTTTTTCAGGAAAATGATAATATCAGTGATGAAAACGCGTCCTGTGTCTGCTGCACAACATGGTCTCAGCATTCGATGTGTACTATTATGTACTCGAATATTGTTGCAAGTAAGGAAATTACAAGTTTGAGAATCCTATCTATGAATTAAAATATTTTTAAAATCATTGAAACAAAAATTTTCGTCTTTATGTTTATCTTAATATTTAGAAATGGAAATTTTATGTAGATCTTAGGATGTTGTTCATAATCTATTCATATTTCTAATTTTAATTTTAGTATTTTTTTTTTTTTTTTTTTTTGAATTTTTCCAAATATAAGAACACATTAGCCAAAACAGTGGTTCGAGCACTGCATAGACGTATGCAATTTAAACAATGCATAGAGAAGCATTGCAAGAGATGCACATAAGCACTACACAGAGATATGCAATTTTTACACAACTCAGTAATCGAAATTCCTTAATTAGTGGTCATATAATAAACTCTTTTTGATCTGTTTCTTACATGGAAATGATGTAACTGATGGAGTTTCTAATTGAGCTTGAACTGATGGAGTTTCTAATTTATTTTTGTTTAGGATGGCTCAAATAATGAGGTGCTGAGAAAGGTGACCAACTTGTTGCAACACTTGATAGAACGAGATTCACCAGACAGAGTTGTACCGATGATGTGCTATTCGATTGCAATTGTTCCCGAAATTGTTGACAAACTGTTACTCGAAGATAATGAGCAGTATGAGCCTGTACGTCGCGTGATGTCTGTACATCTTGCTTCAAGAGTAGGTTGTTTGAATGAAATAAATCATGTGATATTTTTTAGATTTCATTTTATTTATGGAACAATTTGTTTGTTTTAACCAAACGAGGCAGGAATTGTAGAACTGCACCCGAATAATGTCGTAATTGTTTTGGTTTTGTTTGAAGAGAGACCAAGTTATATATGTCGACATTTTTCCATTTGGTAGTAGAATAGCAAATATTACCGTTATAATAGGGGTATCAAAGATTTCTTTCCATTTTTAGGATGAGCTTTTTACAATATTCAATAAAGTGATTATGTCACGTCTTCTCAACAAAAATACATATAGCACCACATGTCTGCAAAAACTTAGTATTCATGGTTTCCAAAATTGGTTTACTGAATCTATCAATGTGATTATTACGGACATAAATGGCTTGAATTTAGAATCTATGGAGGTATCAATTTGAATTTCTCTTTCAATTCCTGAAGCCAGTTATTCGCTCAGTTTCTGCATTTGATTGATATTACTACATTGTTTACAGGAATTTATTCTTTAATTACTTTATATTGTGCTTTCTAATATTTCTTTCGATTTTTAAACTTTACTTTCATTTTTTATTTTAGTTGAGCTCCAGGCTTTCATCGGCAATGATGACATGTTATGCATTATTCAGTTTAGCTACAAATCGTTTAGTTCCTGATAAGGAAGCAATAGTATTTCCAGTGCTAAATGAATGTGTCCAAATAATATCGAATCATTTTGAAAGCGAAAAAAAGGTACTTCTCGTTAAAATTTCAGTTTTTTTTTTCCCGTGAAAAGTTTTCCAAGAATAATAATTCATTAAATATAATTTCATTTAAGGGAGGAAATGAAATGTTTGTCGACACGGTTGGACTGCAATTATTATCGGATGATACGCTCGTAAAAACTGTGTTACGTCTTTTACTTTTTGGACGTCTAATAACATCATTTGTTAGAAGTACAGATTGCAGCACACTTTTGCAAATAGCAAATTTAGTTGAAGAAATTCACAGATTGCGAGAATTGACAAGGCTAAAACTCGAACAGGTATTGCATAAATTCAAATTTGAAGCTAGCTGGACTTCCCAGTAAATTAAATTTTTTACTGTTTGCTCTACAGAGATTTTATTGTATGTAACCTTGTTTTTGAATAATGTTTTAAACTTCTGCAATAAAATATTAATTGCAGAGAGGGAAAACTGCTTCATATCGCTTACTTTATTTTGGTTTAAATGATTGGCTTCAAATAGTAAAACCTTGGACGAATTTCCTCCCTGCAGATTTCACAGTGGCAAGTGATTAGTGGTATCTTTTTTATTATTTTGAGACGTTTTGTGGAACCTTGAATTTTACATGGTTTAGCAATTTCAAACTCATCTTACGACAGTCCGGAAAATGTGGATCAGATTACTCTGATGTTTTCAAATTCATTATATCTTCAAGAATAATTTTAAAACTGTGAACAAAAACTGAGTAATGAATACTGCATATGGGACATGAGGGACTAGAGTTTCAAAGATTTTTTTTAAAGAAAATTATATCTGGATAAGGAAGAGAACTGAGCAAGTTATTATAATAAAAGAATCTTATTATTCCCGAGACAACAATACCAGCTTAACGGAAATGAAAATTATGATACTTGAAATGCCTATTTTAAAGGATCTACGTTCTTCGAAAAAAAAAATCTTGGAAATTCAAAATGAAATTCAAATTTGCTGGAATTTTTGGGATAGATTTAGAAATTTTTGATTTCTCAGGAAATATTCCTGCTTAAAATCTGTATGTTTGTAGTTTTTAATTTTTTCGTATTATCGTATTTTATATGTACGTCATATAATGTATGCCCTTTTTTCATGCTAAAATAATTGGAAATGACCTTTATAGCTTTGTATGGAATTAATGTAAGTTTAGGTTCACTTCCCATTGTGCATTGTTTTTAATTCTTTTTATTTCATACTAAGGCTTTCAGCTATCTCTCTTTATAAAGATTGTTAATGTGGGAATTATCTGTGGTGGACTGGTGCTAAACTTATCAAAAACTAGAATATCGGCTTATTTTTTCGTTGCGTTCGTAATTCACTTTGTCAGATATTATCAGATAGGATATTATTTTCTATAATAGTGAAAGCACTGCAAATAAAATACTTAAAAGCAAATATATACTTGCAGTCGTGTTCATCTCCTTTGTTAATAGCTCACCTAGTGTTGTGTGTTCCCTATAATTTCAGGAGTTTATGGTGAAGTGGTTGTTTTGTTTGCTTTTTGGTATCCATTTAAAATTCATCATTTCATATGTTGCTGATATTTTTCCACTTTTTTATGCTACTGTGAAAAAATGTTATTTTTATGATTTGATTTATGATTTGTCCACTGAACCAAAATAAATGATAATAAAAACATTGGTGGAAGACGGTAGGTTTGTCATTCTTTTGGCTACTTTGTTTCTTTTTCAGCTTGTATTTGAAGTGATGTATTTAAAATGGCATTTTCAGGAAATAAAGTTATATAACTGTTATTTTTAAACATTTTTGGTTTAAAATAAAATGATTATAACGAATTTGTTGTTGAGATGATAGTATGGATAGTATTTAGTGAGAAGGCGTCAGATTAAGGAAGCTTTAATGAAGAAACATGCGGACTTCGAGTGCGTAAATGATCACTGCAAACTGGAACTGAAGCCAAATCTGTAAGAATGGTGGTCATATGTTTGAGACTTAGGATTTATATGTCTCTCTTGTTCAGTTAAATTGATATTAAAGGTGGCAATTGTTGATGGTAGAAAAAGTGCACATAAAGAAACGTAACATGCCGGGAATTGTTCCATGGGAGCCCTATAAGGTATGATTGGGAATTTCTTCAAGCTGCTTCCGTTTATCAGTTTTGTGTGGTTTGTTTGTTTGTTTGTTTTTTTCCTCCCTCTTTTTCACATCTTGCAGTCATTTAAGCTAATTAGAAATCAGACAAGATTTAGCTAATTGGGTGCAGACTTTGGTTTCGGTCTTTGTTCTATTGATATTGAACTTACTAAGGTTTATTTCGTTGTTAGTGATGCTTTCTCTTTCCGCCGTTCTGCAGACAGGAGACAATCCACAACTGATTAAGACTTGAAGATGTTACCAATGCTGAAAATTCTAAAATCATTCTAAAATGTTTGCAAGATTATAGTCGAGAGTGGTTGACTGCTACGGTGACATGGCTTCTTCATTTTTTAAATGTTTTTAATTTCAAATAGTTTATTTCTCATGTTCATAAAGATGTGACACATAGTAATTACTAATGAATAATTGCATGTTGTTTAACATTTGTATCTTGTAAGGTGTTCGTTTATGATTATATCAAGTCGATGGCACTTAATGCTAAATTATTTATTAAGCAAATGAGTTTTAAGCTAATACTAGAGATAACAAATAATTGAAAGTAAACGCTCTCTTCCGCTTTATGTTAGTTGATTTAGATATCATAGATTTCATGGTTTTTAGTAAATGAAACATGTTATATTTTTCAGGCAGCAATATCAGCCCACACAAAAGGAAGCCATCCTGGTGTTTTACCACCACTGATCAAATATCAGTTTGTGAAGACGGATTTTACTGCATCTAAGAATAAACCTGAATTGAAAGCTACTGAAGGGCATTTTCCAGAAAACGGTATTTTTTCTAGTATTCTAGTTTTACGATGGTGTAAGCACTTGTTTATTTATCATTTCAGACGCAATTAAAGAACAGAATTACTTGTCTATGTTTAGAGTGTGCGGTAGAATTATAATTTGTTAAGGACGATATTAAGTAGCGCAATGTTTCACTAACCACTGATACACTCGAAGATTTTTAGATTTCAAATTTTATCTCATAGTCAGGTGTAAATTATTTCAATAGAAATGGTCAAATTAGGTAAGGTATGTACGGCAAGCTGTTTCTCTTGATTTGATTACTACATTACCACATTTCTTGATGTAATATTCAGTGGGTCTAGGAGAAATGGAAATTTCTGACCTATCGCGAGTGCGCCCACTTGGTGATGGGAAAGAATCTTCGTCGCTCGGTGGAAATATTGAAGTTGGAAAAGAAAAGAATGCTAATAATGCAGAGGAATTTAAAAGGCTAAAAAGAGATCTTGAGGTTATTCTGCTTTAAATTAGGATTTAGGAGATTTTGAAAGAGAAGAGGGAGAGATTTAAATTAGGATTTAGGAAATTTTGAAAGAGGAGAGAGAGAGAGATTTAAATTAGGAAATTTTGTAAATGAGGAAAAACTTTTTTCTTTTGAATAATATTGCGATAATTCTCAATAAGTGTATGAGAAGGAAAGCTTGTAGATGATAGTTATATTTTTTATAACGCATTCGAAAAAGTGTCTTTCATGTAAATTTTTGAATTTTTTAATACTTTTTTTTAGTTAGAAAGACAGTTGACAGATGAACTAAAACGTATACTTGTTGCTACAATGGGTGATGATTTGACATGTCATGTGAAGTCGCTTAGCGAAGATAAAGTTCGCCTTGCTCATATGATGATGAAATTTGAAGCCCAGGTTGGATTTATTCAGATTCATTTGTAGAAATTTTTTAATTTTTTTTTTTGCTGAACTTTTAATGTTATTTAGTTTTTATGTTTTTCATCATGAATTACTAGTTTTTAGACAGATTTTGAATTTACGAATTCTACAAACTTCGTTAACTTCCTTAACTTGCTTAAGTTTCTAAGTTAGTCAAATTTCAAAGGCATTATTGAGAAGTTCCTGTTAGCCTGCAGAGTGTAGTTTACAGTATGACATCAGTGTGTGTTAAACGAATTTTTTTTTTTCTTTTTCAGATCTCGCATGACCACGATAGGGCTGAAAATTTGGCAATATTAGCTGATATGTGGCGTTGTAAATTCTTGGCAATGAGTATTCGAGCGGATGAAATGCTTATTCAGCGATATAGTCTAATTTCTTATTGCAGGCAGCTGCAAATATTGCTAAACAGATTCCTTGATACAAATCAGGATCAGATCCGCAGAAAGTCCATATCTCCAGTTTTGGAAACATTGATAAACGAAGCTCGTGCAATGCTAAAAACTGATTTGTCGACATTTTTTGAACGTTCACCATGTGATGAGAAAATTTATAAACCGGTTCCACATACGTCGAATATTACAATTACTTGTTGCAAATACTGTATAGGTAAGGAAATTAAGTTAATTTAAGTTTGAGTGTAACTATAGTTTTTATTAACGATTATTACTGAGCATTTTATTGAAATAAAGTTATTGAGAAAATAGTTCTGATGTAATAGTACTAACCTTATGTTCTCTTTTTAAATATAGAGCACTTTAATGATTACTTTAGAGGCAGTGCTGATTATTTTTATGTTGTTTATTAATGAGAGAGTGTATTGATAATGTTTTTTTTATCATGCATTTTTGGAGGATTGGCAAAGTTACAAAGATCTTTTTGAGTATCATTCATTCATGCTACACATAAGAGAAAATTAAATCAGTTAATAAATTAATGCACAATATTTACAAATCTTGTTAAATTAATTCGAGCAGAAAATTATGTAAGAAGCTTAACATAACCCAACATAGGTTGAGTTGTTAGTAACTTTGAACTGTGGTGTGAAAATTGGTATTGTGTATAGTATATTTTGTGGGCTAGTTTCTGCAAACTTGTGTTACGATTGTCAGTTGGTGTATTTTTGCATTGTGCTTTCGTTGCATTTCATTGCTTTCGTTCAGTAGATTTAATTCAGGTACATTGAGAGTGGTTTCTAACTGAAAAGTAAACCTCCTTCGATGTTATGTTTTTTTTTTTTTGCAAATGATAAATACAGTTTTTATTGATTTTACTTTTATTTTAAATTTATTAACTTTAGAAATTGATTTTATTTTCCTCTAGTTTTTTACTTGTCTACAGTTTGTCATTATTGTGGCATCAATGATCGGTAAATATTCCGCGATAAAAAATTTTTTCGATTTAAAATTTTCAAATGACTCGTTAAGTTTTTAAGTTTATGCTTAAGATACTGGTAAATTGCTGTCTTCTTAAATAGGAGGAAGTTAATTAGGATGGATAACAATTTCATATTTATCTTTGAAGATGATTTTCTTTGTTTTATGCTAATATATGAGGGAATACGTCCCTTAATTTTTGTTTTATGATTAGTCCCATGAAAATTAGAGAACGGTCTAAGGCGAATGTTTCTGCTTAATGAATTGTAGGAGAAGATGAATATCAGTGCACTACATTCATCTATTTCAAAAAGTACGCTACAAACTGAAGGATGTTCATTTTTGAGTTTCTAAATATGATTTTATACTAATTTTCTCAGATTTCTTCTTTTTTACTTGGCATCATCAATGGCAGCACCAACAGAACGATTTCATGTGTTATCACAGCTTGATCATTTGCAGTCAAAATATACAGGTACTGGACATGCCGATACAACGAGATGGGAATGGCTCGTTAATCAGCATCGTGACACATATGCATCAATGATCGGTAAGTTGTTGGTAGCTTAATAATTTGAAGTCATTTTGAGGATCTGCCTTGTTAGATTATTTGGTTATTGACACTATCCCTTGTTATCCTTTCCAAAATTTGCTTTTTTTACAAATGATAATGTTCGGCAAAAAAATACTCAGTAAAATCAAAAATTATCTTAAGTATGATAATTTTAGGTCATCCAGACCATTTAAGTTTGATAGCAGTATGCGAAAACGAATCGCGAGCTAGGGTTCGGTTCAATCTATTGAATCAAATGATTGCGCCTTGTGGACCACCACCTGAAAAGTCTCCACTTGATGAATGATTTCCTTATAGTTTCATTAACTCTCTAATATCTCTGGAATTGTGTACTGTTGATGCGATGGATAAAAGTCTGAGTAGTGCTTTTTTTTTGTTCTACTTTCCGCAACTTAGCCCGATTCATTTATTTTTTTTACCATTATTTTGTCCGTATATCATCTATTCGTTCTCTGTGTTTATTGATTTTTATATCATTTTAAAAAGCAGTGTATGTACTCTGAAGCGACAAATTTTTTGTGGATATGTGGTTATTATTAGTGAAACTATAAATGAGGAAAAGGAAATTAGAATTCTAAAAAAGTTAAGACATTCAAACAATTTCCCGCGAATTTAAGATTTGCAATAGAAGAAAACGGCATTTCGATAAATCTGTCATAAAAGTGAGCCAATTTATCAGTGGTAGAAATTGCTTAGAAAGAAAGCATAGCATTTAATGAATAAAGAGCATGAATTGTGCTGTTAGATGTTACCGACTTTTATATATTGTCATCAAAAAGTTCAAATTACGAGTACTGCTGTCTAAACTTTGATAATGGTATCCGATCAGAGGTGCCGGACAGAATTTATGGTTTCTGGTGTTCTTTTGTCATTGTTCCAGCATAAAACATTAGCAAAGTTGTGATTTAATCTGTAGCAGAAATAAGATGGGATAACACACTGTGGCTCCTTTACTTTGGTAGCTGTAAGGTGTACTTCCTGCTTATCAATTAGGATCCAAATGTGCTACCTCTGGCCGTCTAAAGATTTCATTTAAGATCATATGACGCAGTTCCCTAAGGTTCGGTATGCATTTTCATCACAAGGCTAAATGACCATGATATTATTGATATTATTCGAAGATCCTTTAGATGCAAACGACGGTATCTCCGAAGATTAAAACTTTAATCAAGAATATAGGACATATAAAAGTTTTGAATATTCTGGTTGGGTGTCAAAAATGTCATCGGCAGATATTTGTAATGAAGAAAAAAAACTAAGTTCGCATGATGTTGCAGCGACGTAACATGCACGGAACACCTTATATCACCTGACATAACACTTAGTATTGTGGGAATTACACTGAGTTTGGATTTTTAGAAATTAATAAATATAAACAAAATAACTGACAAACTTCCCATGATTCTTTGGTGTCAATAGCTTTCAGGAAGTTTCGAAGCATTTTGAGGAGTCTCGACATTTTAAGCTTATAAAGAATTTGGAAATGTAATTAACAATAGCAAAAGATTTCAGTACTTTTGCTATCCCTTTTTTGCTTCTGAAAATCTCCCGCATTTAAGTGCAACTGAAATGTGAAATTCTGGATGCCCAATAAAACTCCTCAAACTCACGTAATCACGTATAAAAAAGAGAAATTCAGGATTAGGACAAATCATGTTCCCTGATTCAAGACATCATTTTAGCATAACGATGCGAGAAGCCAATAATACAGCAATCGAACAATTCACTAATTAAATGAGTGATATTCACATTTTAATAGTCCAGAAAGTTTAAATGAAATGCACAATAGCGAGAGAAACTAGAAAGATATCGCCGAACCCGGCATTCCAATAGGATGACGTGCCATCATTTCGACAACAATCATAGCCACAACAATATTCGTCGTAGTTGCAACTCCAGACCAGCTCTTTTGGTTTCCTGCCATCGTCAAAGTATACATTACCCAGTTGCGGATCGTCTCCTTGGATAAGCACACGACACATATGAGTACCATAATCACCACGATAATAGTTGGAGCCCCAATAATATGGACGGTTATTCCACCTGAATTCCTTCTAATTAATCAAATAATATTACAGTACTATGTTTTCGAATGGTAATATCGACAATTCCCAAAGTGAATAGATACGTTCTTTACCTGTCAACTTATTAAGAGATCACGACAAACAGACTTGATAAATTTGAAGATGAAAAACGGACATCATTGGGGCGTGAGCTCTTCGTATCAGTGCTTTCCCGGCCTTATAAGTAAGGTAACCAGCTGCAGCACCAGCAACGAAAGAACCAATGTTTGATTTCGTAAATCTAAATAAAAATTATTTCATAATTTTTATTTAACCTCTGAAATATCTTAAATGAAATTCACATAATAAATCAAATTGCATCTACTAATATCAAATCTTCTTGATCTTTGCTATTTAAAGTTTAAAAAAAAAAAAATAAAATCTGTTTTATCAAGTATAATTCATTCCGAATTAAAAAAAAAAGAAAAAGCGACAACGGCTACAAAAGAACTATTCTCTAATATGGTAAAAACGTCAAACATAAAAATAAAAAAATGCCGCTGAAGAGAACGTCAGAAATGAAACTCACAAGCTACCACCACGTCGTTGTCCCCATGAAGTACTGTGTGAGCTGCTGCCCCATCGACCACCACTTGTTTTGCCAAAATTGCCACCTCCATACATCCCCCATCTACTACTACGTGGATTACCAGATGGTCCACCTCCATTTTTACGTAAACCACTGGATCGACTAGCAGATATACCACGACCGCCAGTAAAGGTACCACTTCGTTTAGACCCACATTCTTTTATTACGAATAATAACAGTAACACTAATACTAATAAAGAAAGCTGTACAGGTAAAAAGCGTTGTATATTCATATTTTTTTCATACCACTTCAGTCTGAAAACACAAGCTGCATTTGAAATTTATTACAGGTTAACCTTTAAGTAAAGCAAAAGCAATTGTGATAATATTTTTTGAATTTGGCCAGATGTTATGTATTCTTTTGTATCACTTTAGTAATCGTAAAATATACTTTTGTAGATGCTTTTATCATCACATTTCACTCCAAACCACGCATTAGTTAAATTCTTCTTAATCAATTAACTGATTTGCCATCTTTAAACTAACAAACTCAAACCAAATGAAGTTTAGGTCTGTATCCCGACGTATGTTAATTGAATTTGTGATAAAAAAGAGGTTAATAATCGAGAATTTCCGGTTCACCCGTGCTGATATTTCTAGATATTACTGCTTATCTGTAACAGTAATCAAAATTTAGGGAAGCGTTTGATAATGCCAACTGCAGTAGGACTTACTGTCAAAGCCTAACCTGAATCACAGACATATCGTCAGCTGCCGGCCTTAAGTCATTTTCTTCTAGTTTGTACGAGAAATCTTATCTCTAAGACATTCCCGTCATTGCTCTCTGTCACGTTATGGCTCATGATGCTCAAACATTATCAACTAACTTTTCTTCCTTTCCTTCTCCTTACTTCAATCTCACTATACACGAGCAATCCACACAAACTGACCCATCCTGTCCACTCACTCCTTATCCTTCACTCACTTTTCTCTCATCCTTTGTCGCATAAATCAGTTTATGGGAAGATTAGTTGCTAATAATGTTTGAATCAATATTGAACACTGAAAAGAAAACAAGAAAAACGATATTTCATCACTATCATACGGAAAAGCAAAGCGGAGTAGATGAATTGAAGACTATGAGGCGACTTTGGCTTCCTGTTATCATCAATTCCTTCCCACTCTCTATTACTCATCTCGATTTTCACTGGACTACTCTCGAATGTTTGTTCTATCCAGCCCTAATGCCATGCTATTTTCTGATTAATAGTGTGTGTGTGTGTGTGTATATATGCCTGTCTGCTTATTACTTCATTGTCAAGGAGATCATTTTAGAATTTTATATAGTGTAACTATTCCAGTGATATAAATAAAATAGGTCCGAAGTGGTACACTGATCCATCAAAGTACAAATTCTCATTTAATTTCAGAAATTACGAAAAAAGAAATTTTCAAATAACGGAAATTTCCATATCGACAGTAAAATAATCGAAATTTGCGTTATTCAGAAACAATCTTTAAAAAAGATTTGTTTAAACTAAAATGCTCTAATATGATTAATGTGGAATGCATAAGTTTGACTGACATTGGTTGACGTATAAAGCTTCCTACATGTTATATTAACAAATGATGATAACTTGTCATTTGATGCAGCAACTGCTTGTAACTTACATTTTTTCGAAATTTTTAAGGGACATTTGACAATCTTGAAAAGAATCCTAAACGCAGAAGAAAATCATTGTGTTAAAAGGGCGAGAAATACTGCTTTTTAAATTTTCAGTTATTATGCAGATATTTCACATTTATTTTGGTGGTTATTTCCTGTTCTTTAGACTAATAATTACTTTTGACCGTTAACAATGTTAAGTTTTATTTTACAAATGAAAGAAGTTCAATTTCCAGAAAAAATTTTAGAGACCATTCACTTCAGTTAAATGACTAGGAATTTTCTCAAGCTCCGGAAAATTGAACGTATCTGAGAAAATCAACATGATTGTGTCTTAAGCAGAAAATTTATGTTATATCAAATTAAATTTGTATATTTTATTCTATTGCGCGTTCCACTGTATATCCTATAACAAGATTTAGGGTGGCTAAAAGATATTGTCACATAAGCGTTTACGTTGTCTGTTAATATCTAACTTACGACAAATCAGAGCTTTGTTAAAGTCAGGGATATTTATTAACCAACTACAACAATCGCTAGAAGAATATGAAGTTTACCTATGTTACAATCTAATTTGAAACATTCGGTTAAAACAATGTATTTCAGCTCGCGAACAGTGTAAAATCTCATCATTTACCATAGAATGCAATAATACTGTTGTTAGTAAATATAACGATAAAAGTACGTCGCATATGTTCTGGATATATTAAATACAATTGTAGCGATTGCATTTGTCCTAGAAAGTGAAATTCTTTTTGCAAATTTGCAAGCTAAAGCTAAATTATTAAAAGAATTAAAATAGCAAAAAATGAGTTTCTCTTTTTCATTCCTATATTTTTTAAGTTTTTTCCCTTTTTTTCTTTTTTTCTTCTTTTTTTACAAATATCCTGCAAAATTTCATAGTCTAAAAAAGGATTAAGAAATTAGTTTTACCTTATTAATTGTAATAACCTTTGAAAGCACAATTCTTTTTTATATAGTTCTTCAGCTGATGAGTTTCATGATAAAGGCAAATCTTGAATGTAGGAAAGGTATAATCAGTAAGAAAGACGATAATAAGAACATCATATTAATAATAGCAGGACAGCATCAGTAATACCAAGACACTGAAAATTTTCAAGCATTTGATTTGACGCACAAAAAAATAACAAGCTGCTAACTAAATTTATACTTCTAAAAGCTGAGCTACGTTATCAGCAGAAAACATAAAGGTATACAAAAGTCTTTTCCCTAGTATTTTAAAAACTCCTTGTTAACTAGGACAAAATCTTAAAAATTACTTGTGACCAACTTATTATTTTAATGATAAGATGCCAATATGTGATAATTATTTCAGGATAAAGTTTGAATATTAGTCTTGAAAAAGAGCATACTATTGAATTGAACTGCTTGCAAAATTATTCAGATTTTAAAATATCAACAAACCTAATGAAAAAAACCCATGATGGTCTTTTATGATCAGAGAAATTACCACCACTTAGCTGCTGTACTGGACAACAATCGGTATCACAACATATCTCAGCATCAGACTTACAATTCCAGGTCAGTGACTTCGGCCTTGAACCATCTTTGAAGTGCACCTTAAGAACCAAGAATTAAATAACTCGTTTTAAATCTAGGAATCGAAATATCAATGGTCTGATTAATATTTAGATCTTTCGTCTAAATTTCGAAATTCATGAAATATAACACACTGTTTTGAAGAACTGCTCTGGTGATATAGCGGTTGAATTTGTGGACTCATCAGCAGCAGCCACTACAGTTGAACTTCCCTTGAAAAACGTGAAGTGAGAAACAAAAAAGAAAGCAATCTGTTTAACTTTAAGATTTTTTACCTTAATTGTTTAAAATTATTTATGTAGCATAAAGATTTCTTTTAAATCTGGTTGGAAAGACCATTCAATCCAACCTTATTAATGATGCTCTTTAAAATTTTTCACCTAATAAGTACATTCCTTCTTCTTAATATTATGAATCAAAAGATTCATCTTTCTTACTCCGAGAATTGAATTTTTCTTAAAACTCATTAACCTGTAATGTCTTTAACACATCATCGATTGGCACTGAACACATGAAATAGCCATTCTTGTACTGATGATTCCGCTCATCAAAATAATAATTTTGACCATTTGATGCTCTCAGAGGTTCAGAACCAGAACGGAGAATTGCCTATAAGAAAGAAAAAAGAAACGTGAAGCACGTTCAACTGAAGAATGTGCCAGGTATCAAGATAGATTGCAGTTATCAAAACTGCTAAATGTAAGTAAAGCTATACATGGAATGCTGATAAAGTGACTATCAAACAATGAATAAGTCTAGGCACACTTTACACTTGTAATATTACATCAGAAAATAAAATAATCTAAGTGGACAGAACAAAACAGCGTAAACAGTACACACTGAAATTATTTCTTTCAAAATGCAGTTTTGGTTATTTCCACTAAAAATTTGTAAAATAATATTCAATTCACTACACCGCTGTACGAAATAGCATCTACTGGTAAGAATGACTTGCCTTTCCTAATTCAAAAGTTGCCAAACCTGCTGCAGCTCCAAGCGCACCACCTAAAACTGCTTTCCCAAATGTTCCTTTACCGGACGGCCTGAAAATTTTCAGTTTTAATATCCTTTAGCTTTCACTTTATTTGTCGTTTTAAAAGTCCCTAAAAAAATGAAAAAATAAGATATTATCAGTTAACAAACATATTTTTCAGCATTTAAAGCAATCCAGGAAAAACCATAATTTGGCAATCTCTTCCGATCCTTCTTGGACCTTAAAAAACTATTCGCTTCTCTTTTAAATGCATACTTCATTTGGTTGGGAGCAAAACCACTTTGCTGATGATAACCACCAATTTGACTGGGATGATAACCTCCGGGTGCTGTTTGGTGGTATCCATTTTGCTGCGGGCGATAACCACCTTGTTGTGGATAACCACCCTGTTGTGGATAATAACCACTTTGCTGTGGATGATAAGCACCTTGAGGTTGGTGATAACCTCCAGCTGATGAATGAGTGTTTGGTCGAGACTGGAAACTAGTAAAATTAGCGAATATTATATTACAACATTCTTGGCGACAAAGACTAATTTTTCTGCTGACTACATTGTTCCCATATACTATTAATTACTTATTAATTATTATTAAAACCGCTTACTAAAAAGCTGTAATTTTAAAAAAATGATTGGAAATTGTTAAATTCTATAAGATCAAAAACAGTTACATCAAATAGATTAATATCATAAATTCAGCAACATAAAAAATAATCCGGAAACTGACTGGATTTAATCTTGCAGCGCTTGAACCACGATTTTTCCCTCCTATGCCAATTTTAAAAGCATTAGCAATTCTAGGAGTAAGCAGTAATAAGCAAATGATAACCTTGTACATATTTACCGAAATAGGAATATTACTCTGAAAGAGAGGAAACAGTAATTATAAGAAAGTAAGTCCAGTCTCAAAATAATTAGTAGACAAAGAATACTTCTTGTTATCTTAAGTTCCACACAAAATTTCCTCTGCCACAGGAAATTTCATGCAAGACGAAATTCTAATCACCAAGTATTAACAGCGGAATTTACGAAGAGTTGTCATTGCTTCTATAGCACATCAGTCTTAAGCCAAAATCAAATCAAACCTTTCTAGTCAAAGTTCATCAAGACTGTACCTATTTAATAAAAAATTTTCCCAACAAACTTAGACAAAAGTGTTGCACAGTCGAAGTAATAAACCTCTCTTCTTTCATAAAGACACAACTAAGAATAACCTTTAATTACTCAGATGGGTGACAACACAACCAGCAAAAGAGAACAGATAATTGTCTCATACAAATAATGCTAATGAATTCTATGCACACCCATGCCATTTATTATCCTTGTACACATGCATACACATAGTAACAACGACAATGGCAAGTAAAGACCAAATCTAAAAATGCAGTCGTTGTGGTGGAGGTAGACAAGGTATGCTGCACATTGCTTCTCCTTTAATGCATGCGGTCCTTTTGTTCTATTATTCTGATCTGATGCGCGCATAGCAAATGAACTGTTTAAACTTCCGGAAGTGGAGGTAAGCATTTGCAGCCCTTGTTACATCATTGAATTATTTGTTTTACTCAACGACTCTTGAATACTTGAATAGAAGGAAGATTGATTCTCTTCATCGACAAATGTCCATCAATTTATCGACGGAGAATTATTTAAAAATCATCAACTACATAGTACCAATTTTTAAATTAACGATTGTTTTCCATATGAGAAGTCGATATGATAGAAAAGGGTAAAGCGCTGACAGTTCTGATAAGAAATAAATACTGGACTTTAAATTGTATTTTTATTTAAGATAAATTTTGGTAACAATTTTCACAATCACCTAAATGTTTTTGGGAAGTTTGGATAAATAGAACTACTCGAATATCATTGAAAACTTGTGTTATAAAAACTTTCCACACAACGATTTCATTAATTCTAACATAAAAAGAAAAAGAAATGTAAACGGTGGGAAATTGTAATTCTTGCAAACTTTTTGTTGAAACTATAAAAATGATTAAATTCATTTGAAAATGTTTGGTCAAAGCAGTACTTAGTCGTAGAGGTTAAGAAATTCCTGAAGTTAAAGCATTCAATTATATAGAGTTAAGAAATTGCATAATGAATAACATATGGCGAAGAAAATATGAAATACCATTTAAACCTCGATGGACTCAGTTCATGAAGTTCTTATCAATTTTTCATTTTCGAGATAAGCCAGATTAAATTTTCATTTATTTTGTCCGAAAATTCTTCTCATTCCTGAGTGGATAGCCCTAAATGTTAGCGGACCAGTAATTTTACATCATTGTCAAATTAGGAAACAAGTATTCAACAGCAGGAATTTTTAAATCAATAATTTTGGTAATGAGAAATGTTTTAAGGGAAAATAAATTTTCTCCCTGCATTAAAACATTGGAGGAAGGAAATAGCTGAGTCATTCATTTCTCATCAAATAACTGTTGTGATATTACAGGTACTTGGTATAAGCAGAAATGACATCCTTTCTCTACTTCCAACTTCCAATTTGCCATATTTATGGAAAATGAATTCAATGAAATAATACCTACTTGAAAAACTTCAACATTACCCAGTTTTTGAGAATTATGTTCCAAACAAAGCATAGTTATTCTCAAAATTACCTGGAATTACTTCAGCAATCTCAGGTCATTTAGCGTAAAGAGTAGCACCTTATCACAGAATAACCAAAGGACGGGAAAGAAATAAACATCAACACTTTACATCTATGAACCGATTCCTTAATTTCAGCTGTGATGATACAGATCTCAGCATAAATAAATGGAAGGCATACTGGCAATCGATCTTTGATCTTTGTCCACTCAAATTAAGAAACATAAAGCGAGGGAGATGGTCAGTGGTAATGCGCATCTTATCATTTCACCTATCATTAATCGATAATACTGGACATATCCTGGTCATAAGAAATATAAACAAAGTAATGCATTTATCATGCAGACAGACATGATCTCCCTGCATTCATTAATTTGTCAGTTATTTAATTAACAGTCATTCCTCAGTTCAAAATGTTATACTTCCTTAAATTCTTGTTAAATTCCGGTTTTTTTCAAAATTCTTTCATCACCTGGTACCCTCATGAAATAAAGCAGACAGGATAGATAGATGATATAAGGCAAGTAGATAGATTAAGAGACAATTGTACAATAAAAACTTCTGCAATATTACAAATTTAACATTTGGCATAAAAAAAATTAGCAATAGTATATGCGATAATACCAATTTATATGGATATCTAACTTTACTTTGGAGATAAAAAATAATTTTTGCGCTAAGGGTGACACCTGCATAAAAGGGACGCATATACAGGTGTACCATCCAACCCTACAAATCGATAGTCACAATCGATACCTGTAATTTTCCCCATGAACGGTTGTTATAGCAACGACACTGTGAAAGATAGAGAAGCCAAAGGGTGTGTCGTTGTAGAAACGCTGGATCAGAAATTTGTTAGGGGTGTCATGCGAAACCCGTGTCAAATCCGGTTTCCGTTTTCTTTGTTCGTGAATACATTGCTGCATACGATTACCTTAAGTTATAAATAAAACACAATTTTATGTGATTTGATTGCTAACAGTCAACGGAGAGGACTTTTCAGACTCACGGACGGATTCCATTTCGCAGGAAAGATAGAGTCATGGAAGTTTCCTTGAAATCAGTGTAGGAAAGTGAATTTCTCTTGATAAGTGACATCGGCTGTCATCTTTCACTAAGAATTTTTAATCGACGAAAAAAATCTTTTCTAAATGCATGTATGAGATTGATAATGATCTGTTTATTTTTCTTTATTTCTCAACACACAACAACAAACTGGGTAAATTAAAAACACTCCCAAGAAACACTCTCTGTTTTTTTTTTTTTTTTTTTGAAATTCAGAAATATTTGAAAATCAGTTTGCTTATAACATTTCTGAGGAGTATAATTCAAAAATAAGTCTTCAACAGACACTGTCAACTATAGACGTAAAACTTCCGAACTGGAAGTTGTAGGAGACGAAAACACATTCCGTTACATCCTCCACATTCAAAGAAAGGAAAACTGTGTAGAAATTTTTCTACACAAAAACTGGATGATGCTAGACAAAAAGTACTAAAGAAGAATTCAATGCAATTTAATTATATTTGCCGAAATTTAGAAAATAAGAACAACTTTATGTGAATTATCATGAACAACAAAATGTGCCTCAAATCTCAAGATGTACTTACTGTGATGATCAAACAATTTATTTCCATCAATTTATGCTTCAAATATTAGTGAAATTCTATTGCCTATTAGAAATTAAAGTTAATTAATTGTTTGAGACATCCAAGGGAAAATTGAAATATGTTAAATAAAGGTACTTTTTCAGTAGTAAAATAATACATTTCTTCTTAAAAAATGTTTGCATTGGATCGTTAAGGTAAAATAGAGCTGAAGTGGAATAACTGCATTCAAACTGAAAAAAGTTTAATTAAAAGCAACAGAAAAAATAAGCTTGCAATTAAAAAAGTAGGCACATAAAAGTTTATTCAAAATTAGTTCGAACTTTCTAATCAAAACTGTCAAATTTAAATATTTAAAACATTCTCGACATTCCTTATAAAGTCTAGAAAATTTTCAAAACGAACGAGATGACTTCTATATTCTGCTAATCTTAATCAAATTTACTTTCATGGCGCATCTTCTTGTTCGCTATATCATAACTTTTTACTGCTTATGTGTCTAAGAAATTATGATAAAGAAGACCTTTGTCGACAAGAAATCATGATTTCGGCTGTAAGGTATGCCAGTGAACAGCAGGTCTCTTGGTACACATCATTTCAAGCCATTGTTTCTGGCTGGTGATGCTAACTGTGAAGTCATTGAGAGATGGAGAGCCAAGCTTTACTTCTCCGATAAAGTCATTTTTACTCATCTTGTCATAATCCCAAACACTGATAACCAAATGCACTTTCTAAAAAAAATTTGCATGAAACTTACTAAAGTTTGATTGGACGTGTAATATGTATAATTCATAGTTCGTTTTTAGAGTAGTAGTAGTAGTAGTAGTAGTAGAAATAGGCCAATCAAAAAAATTATTTGTATCTTTTAGGATTATATACTTGAAAGCAGCTTAAAGCTTAAACTAAATCGAGTCCAAATTCACCTCCAATAATTCCTGTTCCAGTTTGAACTGAAAACTTTCGTTGTAATATGGATTCAGTGTTTTGTATTTTCGTGTTGTCTTCTTCTTTGATATCAATTTTCGTCCATTATACAAATGTAATTTGATAAATGGATCTAAAACTGGGCGCAAAAGTTGAAATTAGCAGTGAAACCAACGAAGTTGAGTTCCAGAAATCCTAAAGGCTTGAAATACTTTGATCACTAACCTGACAAACCTCCAACATCCATTTTCTTAAGATTTCGAGCTTCCATTATTGTTACAGTTAAAATCATTGTACTTGGCCGATATCGCAAAGAGAAGCAAAGATCACCAAGTCGTGACTCCTAAAGTGAAGTATTAAATTTCATTCAAATTCTTCCTGTATGGAACTGCCTTGTTCCTTCATCCAAACTATGCTTTGAGAAGCTCATTAATATTTTCGATAACTCGAAATGGAAGTCCTTAAATAGACTACTCTTTCTCAAGGCCTATATGGAATAGCTGAAAACTCACTGAGTTAGTTTCACATTCCGGAGGATTTAGTTGAGACCATTTCTCGACAGTAATACCAAAGTCAACTTTCTCTAGAGGTATTGACAGCTGACCAATTCGGTCATCCTTCCTTAATCGATCAAAATCGTATACAACCAATTGAAGTGTCTTACACTGAAGCTCCGTAAATGCTATCTATAAAGAAAACACTTGCCCAAGAAAAACATAGGATAAAAAATGCGCAACATCAGATTTAAAGAATTTTAAAATATTTTTAAAATTGTTAGTATTATTTTTTGTAGAATGGTATAACCTTATATTAAAAAGAACAGTTATATTGGAAAAGGGCACACTTACATGAAAGGCGAACATTTCATTAAAAATGGGGTTTAAGCATTTCCGCTTGATTTTTGTTTCAAATTTTGGCTTTCCTTCCGGAAGCAGATACAGTTTCACGTATGGATCTGACATTCCATTCCGATCCATTGCTGGCAATTCTTTACATTCAAAAATTGTTACTGCTAACTGCAATTTAAGTTTGCAGCATGTCATTTTTATGCTTTATAATATATTTAATAAAATGTCGCATAAGTCACAAAAATGAAGCATAGAGTTTCTGAGAAACTTATGGATTGCAATACTAAGTAGCAAAACAGTAATTTCAAGTAAATATTTAAGGTTCTCAACTACTGACAGTAAATAAAGTGAAAAGCTAACCTTGTTACTTCCAAAATCGTAGTCTAACTTGTAATGAATTTTACCAAATGAAAGTATGGCAGCATTCGATGAGACATTTGGCTGTCCGGAAATCTCATGTGATATGGCTGGTACTGGATCATTAAGAACTGCATTTTGCACAATGTGCTGGAAATAATGGTCAGGAAAGACTATTTGATAATGCTGCCAAAGAATTTACCGAAGAAAGTAATCATTTAGCAGAATGAGAAACATGAAAATACGACTAAGAATGAAAAATCTGGAATAGACAACAATAACTTGAGTCAAGAGTAAAAAATTAAATTTTGTAATTGGGATTTTTATTCATTCAATATCGTTAAAGCAATTTTCAAGTACTGAAAAGAACAGGAAATACTATAAACAAATATTTTAGCAAGATAATTTTCGTATAAAAAGTTAGAACTAACGATATGTGACTTCGATCGCCTGAAGCAGCAGGCGAATAAACGAAATATCGATGAGCATGGTGCTATGGCGCTTGCCCACATCATTAGTGTTCAGTAAAGAATATTGCTTTTCAATTGTCTTTATTAATATTTTTTGTTGACAGGTATCACCTCCATAAAATATGAAAATGCATTACAAGATGAAACATTACTTTGCAAATTCATATTTAATAGCAGTAAGAAACTAGAATGGGACTTTATCTGATTTCATTTGTTTGAATCTACCGGAAACCACCTGAAAATCCTTAAAAAATCAGTAACGATAGATTTTATTTGTAGATATCGTCAGTTCAGCACCCACAAGCTTTGAAGATTACAAAACTTAGACTTTCGACAAATCGTATTTAAAAATATTAACCGGTAATCATGTCATTAAATTTGAATTCATTATTTTATCTCGCCTAAAAAAATAGGTAACAGAAATTAGCGTCTGCACTTTTAGAAGCCAAAAGATTGTATAAGTAACATAAAATCCATAAAATTCCATAAAAATTATTAGTTATTAGATTTCTCAATTATTTATTAAGCTTTTCAGTTGTAATCTACTCATGTAGTGTTTGTTCATTAGTTTAGTAAAAGTATCTTTGCTTAGACTATTAAAAATTTTTCAATAATTTCCATACATAGTTCTATCACTAGGATTAACTAAACGTACAAATACTTTCAGGGCTGATTTCAATGAAACGCAAACGCTTAAAGGTAATCTAATAGCTGTGGGCTAGCACCGCAAATTCAGAAGTGATGTAGATGGCTCGACAGCTTGATGTGAAATATTCTATTGAAAGAAAAAAATTATCCTTCTGATTTGCCAAATCATTTCAAATTTATCATGATGTTATGAATAATTCTCACTTATTTCTCTTCGTATAGGTAAATTGCTGACCATAAATTTCAATTAATAATTAAGTAATTATATTCATCTATGCAATAAATGATATAGCTACATACAGCTATATCATTATTTAGCTATTCCTTAGAAAAGATATTTATTTATTCCTCGAAAGTTCAATTAACTCAGTTTTTTTAAAATAACATTGCGCTTCTAGTGGTTTCAGTGCGCCACAACGAGAAGCTTACAAATAAATATACAAGAAGGAGATTAATAACTGCGTAATCTCAATAGATTTCATTCACAATAATTGTGATCGAAATTATTATTAACACATGGAAAGCGTTTGAATCATACTTTCTAGACTTAAAATCAAGTATAATTCAATTAAAATCATAAAAATTAGCACAGATTTGCTAGCTTAATTTCCAATTAGAGTTCTATTAGTACCAGAGATTCGAAAAGTAAAATCATTTTACCAAATCAATAAATGTTTTGAAATCGAAAGTTTTCATCTTAAAGAGATAAAGAAGTCCGGTTTAATGAAAACCTCAAAGGAAGTGAGGAGGTGTTTTTGAACCAGAAGGCGATGATAAAAGCCACAGAAATATGAGCAGACATGAGAACAATAAGCAATGAGACAAAAGCAGAATGAATTGTTAGCTGCTTTATCAATATGCATGAGCAAGGTTAGGCAAGTTTTCAGTTTATCATTATCGGTTTTTGATGGCCAGTAGGTTAGGAAGGTAATCTCTCTTACGACCTTTCCCAACATTATCATTATTATTGACGTCTTCATCCTTTAAATAATATTCAGTGCAAAAAATGAAGAAATTAATGAATTCCATAAAAAAATGTGGAATTTCATATATGAAATTGAGAACTGTTTGCTATTCAAAGACAAAAATGGCGGAGTGGTGATGATAAATGGAAATAAATGCAAGCTGTATAAGCAAAAATGGAAATCCATTCCATCTGGTTTGATTTTTTGTTGCAAGATGCAAATTAAGTAAGGAGTAGAAACGGAAATTACTTTTCCACTACGGTAATTTCCTTTGGACAACATATTTCAAATAATCCTGATAGTGAATAATAAGCCCTTGCACTTGACTTACTAGTTTGATGATAAATTTGTCTTGTAACCTTACTATCTTTCACATCCTAACTGTTCTGTTTCATCTTTTTTTTTTTTTTTGTTTTTAATTCAATTCTGCGATTATCTCTGTATGTCATATGTTTCGCTCTGAAATGCAAAGCAGAAAAATGCAAGCGGTGAAGATGAGACACTGAATTCAACTCATCACATTTTCATCCTTTTCAACTTCTATTTGATCCTCATCGAATAAAGCAATGCGAGAATATCTGTTTGAGTAATTAGGTGAAAGTGACCAAAATTAATCAGTTACAACTCGAACTTCTAAATTTTTAAAGAAAATGAGGAATTAAAATTCGAACGGTTAGATTTATTCTTGCTATAACTCATACCGATTTTTTTTTTTTTTTGAATATTTCAGATTTTCAATTTAACAATTCACAACAATATTTATGAATGAATTTTTTATTTCACGTTTCTGTTTCAAACGCATTCTAATTGAATTTGTCTCAAAAGGACAAACAGAGAAGCAGTGCGTTCACGATTACAACAACGCTGCCAGATAACTAAACTAAATACTGAACAGGAATACATTGGACATAGATGAAGGTATGAGTGCACCTGCACATAAAGAAAACAGAACAAAATTGGAGAGAAGGCATATCAACGACAACATATCTTGCAAAGGCAAACGTTTATTCATCAGGACAAAACGAAATGGAGAAAAACAGCTTTTTTGAGATTTCAATTTGCCGTTCGGTAAAGGAAGTTTTTTTAAAAAAAATGAAATCTCTTTTTCTACAACGAAAAAGAGGTTTAAAGTCTAATTCAAAAATTTGAGTCAAAGCAGTGACTAATTTCTAAAAAACAAACAAACAGTCTTTAAATAAATGATACATTATGCAAAGCAGGATAATAAATTGAGATTTTCAAAAGACAGATTTCAACTAAGCATAAATAAGAATCTCAGATGTGATTCCAAAAAAAAGAATTGCCTTCAGGATTATATCAAATCTACTAGAAATGATTTTCGTTCGAATTTCAAAATTCGGGTCTTAAGATTGTAACAGTTGATCTTCGTACTGTTTCATGAAACACTCACCAACGGGAAAGAATTCCCAGTCACGATTATCGTATTTCTCTCGAACATATGTCTCCTGTCCTGTATATTCTGTTTCATCTTTGTTCACCAAATGTTGGAGGAAAAACCTGAAAATTTGGTAACTTTTAGTTCTGGAAACAGGAATGATATTGTTTGAATTCACTAAAGAATTCATTTATGTGTTCATCAACATGCGTTGAAAATTTGCTCGTATGTTTTAGAAGCAATTACTATAATTTTTCCCTTTCATTACATCAGCTAATTGTTAATGAAAAAAAACTTACAGATAATTAGCGAAATTGTGCTCTTTAGAGGTATGTATCTCGAAGCCACGCGGCAATCGATCAAATGTTTCCTTGCCAATATCACAAATAAAACAGGATGATTCCAATTTCTCAGTTGCTGATTCTTGTTGATCACGCAATTCACCAAATGCATCGATAATTAAGCCTGAAACATTTTGTTGACAACTGCATTGAAATAGTCGAATCATCAAAGGCTCCACTTTTAAATGAATAAATTCTCAACCTTGCATAATGGCAAGTAAAATAATGATAACGAAGAAGAAGAAGGAAATATCGTAAAGCATTCGCCAGTATTCCAAATCATCACCGTAAGGAGACTCCAATTCATCACCGATACCCCCGCCTGCGCGTACTCCAGCATAGAAATGATAAATGAAACACTGAAAGTTTTTAACAATAGTTTAACTTTGAGGAACTGTTTCTTTGAAATTGTATAAAAATATTAGTTTCGAAATTACGGTGTCAATAATACTATAACACAACTAATTTATGTTGTACATAAAATAAATAATTACCGTCAACATGTTATGGCATTTTCGGTCTGGTGGTTCTTCTCCTTCACCCTCTTGTACGTAAAACTTGCGAAAGAAATTAAATGCTAGCACAGTATACAAATAAACAACTACCAATGTCATCATGATTGTCAAAATTAACTGAAATAAATTAACTGTCAATTAATCATCTAACTCTCTAATTCAAACTTGGCTACATATTGAGAAAACTACCATATTTTGGATCTATTTCTTAATTAAATAAATTTTTGTCAACAACATTAGTCTACAGAACTTGTTTGAACCAAAGTAAATGCGAGAGTTCAGTTTTTAGATAACATACAACTGCCTTTAAATCGCACATTTGTGCTTAAGAAAATATTTTTTCAGATTAGGAAAAATGTTTCAAATATTTCAGTCTTTATGAGATGCCTTCTCATATTTTGCCATTTTACTCATTATTCTGGATAGAAACAAATTACCTGTTGCAAATTATGAGTAACAGATTGCAAAATGGCTTTCAACATGGGGAAAGAGAGTACCACATCTATCAGGTGAAAGGCATAGAAGAAAGGAGAAACGAAAACACCAAGAGCTGAGCAAAGCAAATAGTGGACACGATACAAGAATTGTCCATTTGTCAAAATCACTCCAAGCCACAGCCAACAAGCATATCTGAAAAAGAAAGTTACGATGTATTTCATTTTTTGTTTCTCATAATTGTTATTTCAAGAACTATGACTTTCTTTACGAAAAAATATGCTTTTAAAGAGTTTTTCTACTTTAAAGAAAAAAGGATAAAAAAACCTTAATTTTATAATTCATGCAAAGTATACAGTTTACATCTATAATTCGAAAGTTTCAAGGGAAGAAAATTAAATGAATAAAAAAATTACATGCAGTTAAAGCAAACGAAGAAAGAAGTATCAAGAACTCATGTTTACCTGTAATCAAACGAGGTGTCAGTTGCCGATTTATCTTCACCCAAGACTGTGACTAATGTTTCTTCATCAGTCTGGTCACGAAACTTTTGTCTTGTCTTCCGGCGAACAAATTTATCCCAGTATTTCATGGGAAATGATTTGGAGCTAATAACAATACGATCGATATACCTATGAAAAAAAAAAAAAGAGTTCAAAATCAAATTGCACGTCAACCACACTTATCCATACAAGAAAAATGTTTTACCAGAAGACAGTATTCGTCAAACTTCTTTCTTCATCATCATCTTCGGTAAGCCAACAGCCATCGAACATTAAACGCCGTGCGACTTCCTTCTCACGCTTAAAAGTTATGAGTGGGATCTGAAAATCCAATTCTGACATAAACCTAGAAGTCAAACAAAAACCACGACTTGAATTAATTTCTCAGTAATCAGCTGAGAAATATAAAAATCTATTTAAATTAATTTCTCAGTAATCAGCTGAGAAATATAAATGTTCGAGCTGAAAATCGAAATGTTTGAAATTAATCGAATTAAATGACCTTTAATTGATAAAACGATACCAACAAAGCAAATGATGCCACAGCATGCAGAACGCTTATCCAGTAGAGTAACTGAAAAAAAATTTTAATTTCATCATAATGTGAAAATTAAAGAAAAAAAAACTAGAGTTGACGTCATAGGCCTGACTGGATATAGAAAATTCTGAAACAAGTAAAATATTGCTTCCAAATCTTTCCTTTACTGTTGTTTAGATCAAATGGTTGATAGGGAAGATAAATGAATCAATAACAACATCAACGCAGTTTCATTACTTGTGATCTTTGAACAGTTTAACTAAGTTTAATAAGAGAATTTAAAATTCTGGAACGGAATAAAAACCTGTGCTAGCATCCATCCGGTCACTTCATACGATGTATATGGCAGTATCACTCCACTGATATAAACTGATTCCATATCATCATCTGTATTATATGAGTTCATTACATAACTCTTACAACTCAATACTTTATGGTGTTCACAGATATTTCTAGTATTACCTACCGGTATCATTTACTGATGTCACATTATCCGAAATTCGTATCCGATGAAAGAGTAAAATAACGTTGATGAAGAAAGCTAAATATAGTGTGGTTTTTTCAATTGTTTTGAAATTACGAGCCAGCATATTCTGAAAATTTGATGAGAAAAGAATGATTAAGATGTAATCGGTGAAGTCCATTTGAGTAATACATATACATGCAGTGCAACTGTCTCGAAAAATTTCATACAGAACTAAAGGAAATCTTAAGTGATTAATATTTCGCCACATATCAAAGTTCAAAAAAAAAAAAAAAAAAAAAAGAAAAAGAAAAGAAAAAATGAAATAAACACACAAGAAGCGATCCTCGGCTACGTGGAGGAATTTGTTCAGCAATTTTTGGCTCATAGTAATCGTTAATGCCATATTCCGATACTGTTGGTGAAAGTGCTTGATTATAGTGAACATCAGTGCCACTAAAGCTTTGGGTTTCATATAAACTGGAATAAAATAAAGTACAGCTTTGATTAAAAAAATGTACTAAATTTGATAATTATGACTATTTTAAGCTACTAGCATATTTTTTGATGAATGGTAGACAAGAAATTCTGCAAAGACGAAACGAATCACCTTGGACACTGCTGTGCAACCACAGACGGTTTCAAAACGGTTTTTGATTGTTGAACTGATGTCGGTGCAATCGTGGCTTAAATTTTTTGATTAAATAATTTAATAGTCGTATTATCCTTTATTATATATAAAAAGATTGCGCATTGTTGAAACAAACTGCTAACAGTAATAATTGTCAGGATATTCATTCGTTAAATCCATTTAATTACATTCCAGTCTACAAAATGTATTTACCACTTTCTACCCATTCTTATTCAATAACATAAAAATCAAAGTCATAAACTGATGTAAGAGATATAAGGTGTACATTTATATATACCAGTGGTTTGTCACCCGATATCAGTTAATTCATAGTGAAAAATTGTAGACATTTAAGCAAACCTTCAGTCTTTGATTGTGCTTGAAGTGTTGTTGACGCTTGGGCATCAGTAGGTGGTAAACGTACGCCAAACACATCGTAATTACAGGAACGACGATACTGTTGAAGGGATGGCCAAACTGGAGAAGTATGCTGCATGCCGGCGCTACAAGTATATGTTAATAAAACAGAGAGATAAATGGTTGAATCAAATGTTAAGACAGCCTTTTGATTTCCTTTTATCAATTGATCCAGAAGAAAACTTCATATACAAGTAACAACCTTTCAAGCATTGTTAATGCAGGTTGTTCTACCTCCAATTCATCACGATCCGGCGTCATCAAATAATAACCAAATCGTAACAAGGTACAGATGACCAGATAAATGAACATTGCTACTTTCACGGAAACTTTTGTTGATAAAGTGATAATGGCAAATACTAGCTGAGCCCATGTCATTGATCTAGAATTTCCACATCAAAATTCAGAGTAGTGATTTAAAATATATTTTATGATACTTGTTGACACTTCAAGTCATTATAACTGATTGATTTTTAATGCTTTGGTGGCTTTGCATGACAGGTTATCTAGACTTTTGTACTAAGCTTAGAAAATCATTTTTTTTAAAGAGCATAGATTTTCTGAAATGGTACTTACGAAAATGTCAATGAATCACCTGAGGGTAGCATTAGCTGTGTTAAATATTTTTTTTACATTTGCAGGCTTTAAAGCATTTGCCGCATTGACGCCATACGTGAATCCAGTTTTGAAGGTTGCCGAAATCTGTCTAGAAATGAAGAAAAAGATATAAGTTTCAATCATAGTTAATAATGAAGTTAAAAAAAAAAGAAAAACGAAGATACGATTATTTTTTCGAAATACGATTGTTTTAGTCATTAGAAGTTTACATCCAACTTTCAGTTCTCTAATCATAGTTAATGATGAAACTAAAGAAAAAAAGAAAAACGAGGATCTCAAAAATGTTAGAAAAGTGTCGATATGAGGTAAAGTAAATTAAATTTTGAGAGATTAAATTGCTTACGCGCCAGCTGAAGTTTGCTGTAGGAAATAATCACGCTGTTTCTTTGCTCGTTCAATTTTTGAATCCGCTATATCACCAGCACTGATTTCTGCTGCATGTTGCATCTAAATTTTATTTCTTATTTTTATGACCTATCGAGCAGAAACTTTTGAGGACATTGAATAAGTTCTGGGCTTAACACAATTTGAAAGTCAAACTACAGGAGTCACTACAAGAGAGAAGAAAAACAAAATTGATTTGCATAAAAGAAACCTCAAAAATAGTATCTTCACAAAAATTAATAAATGCCTCCAGTTTTCCTTGATCTCCACCATCATCCTGAAGCACGTTGAAAAGGAAAGAATTCTTGGAATCTCTGCAAACAATTATGAGTTACAGTTGCTTATAAATGTGAAATATGCTGAAGAAATGGACTATTTGAATTTTTGAAACTTGAAAAGCTTTTATTTCAGTTCCGATTTGGCATTATGAATATTAATCAAATACCAACCAATAAAATTCACTGATCAAAATTGAAATTCCTTAAAAATTCCATTATTTAATTCAAAAACTAACCTAATTTGTTGCTTACTCCATTGTTCCAACCACGATTCTTGAATCTCAAAATAGATTTTCTCTACTTTCTTGCTGGAACCCATTATTTCGATTCGACCCAAATAAGGATCGAAATACTCCAACAAACTGCTCGCTTGTTTGATTATTTTTTCCAGGCGTGGATCATTCGTGATATGCTCTTTGAGATTCGTAAGAAGTACAGCTACGTTGAAACCTAGTTATTTTATAAAGGTATTAAATTTCGATCTAATGTTTGGAACAGTTTCCGTCCTTCCGTATTCTGATTCCCAATTCATCGATACTAATAGTTAGTTGTTTTGATATTGAAACTTGTGCTTGTCAAAATTTCGGTATGAGTTAACTGAGCAACAAGTTCTGTTAGTAATCTGAAGAGGCATTTAATTAAATATAACACAATTGGATGCTACAAACCGATATCTCGGGCAGGATTGTGGAAACGTTCTGTGAATTCCATGTAATCTACTTTACCGTCATTATTCACATCTGTACACATCATTAGGTATGTTATTTCCTCACTGAAATAAAATCGAGTCATTTGGGTAAATTGGCTAGTTAAGACAATAAAATCAAGAAAACCGAATTTTTCGATAATCAGCAATGATTGCTCAGTGCAAAATTCATCTGAAATAGCACTATCCACTCAATTTGTCAATGAATCCACTTTTATCCAAAAATTTCTGATCTTAAAAAATATCCGTATTCTACAAAATGTTCGTTTTTCCTTACTGAGAGATATTTTGAATCATTTCAAAAACTGAGAAATGAATTAGTTTCAGCAACTATAAGAATAAGACATGCTCTTGATTTTAAACAGCTGGACTTCTTTAAAATTCGAAACTTACACGGAGTACATTTTCTGACTTTCCATAGCGCGCTGAAATTCTTTAGGTGATATCCAGCCATCACGGTTTGTATCGAAATCTTGGAATGCTTGTGACGTTGTTAAATCTTTCAACTTCAAGAACATATCCGAAAACTTCAATATCATTTCTACATTTTGCTCACTTTCAACTAATGCATCGACCATCTGTTTGCCAATGGAACCATTAAGTACATTTCCTAGAAATTTCAAAATCAATATTACTGAGTCCGAAAAAATTTTTTAAATGGAATAACATTCTATTTGCTTCATATTGCAAATTTTTCTCCTTTCCATTTTCCACAAAGACTTCATATTTGAATTTTTGGGTTTGAATTTTAACCTTCACAACAAATTAAACAACATTCTAATAGGCACTATTTTTTTGCATCGATATCTTATTAATTTTTAAAAATTACCCTCAAGCATAGATAACATCAATACAATCATATCCTTCTGCAGATTTAAAAATTCTCTTAATAATTCCAACTGCGTGCTATTTTTGTACAATTTCTCCATCATATGCGCAAAGAGAAAGAAGAATCCGTTGATAGCATCCCACAAACGAGAGTTTGCAAGTGTCATCTGATTTCCAGTACAGGGACCCTAAAATTCATTTATCAATTCTACTTCTTTTCGAGTTCCATTGAATCATGCAATGTATATCTTGCTAAGTACAAATCTTGTCATATACAGATCTTCTTAATTTATAAATTCCAGTTAATATCTAACATGAATAATTTCTCTGATTCTCCCTACAAAAAAGGAAAAAAAAAGTGGAAAGATAGAAGTTACATACCTGTATACTTTCTGTAAGTGTGTTGAATACCTGACTACACACATGAATAGCCCTCAGGAAATACTCCTTTCCACTCTCATCAATTACATCCTTGCTTGAATAGTGCCAATAGAAGTCCATCACTGATTCTTGCAACCTTAGCAAATAATCAACAGTACAGTTGATCAGATTTACACTTGTCGTATGTCCAGGTTGAGCTCGAAGATAATTTTGAAATTCTGAAGGAATAAATTTTGAAACAAGAACTGGACTATTCTGCAAATGCAAAGTTTATTTAACAGTTCAAGAATATAACCAAACTATAATTAACAGTTTGTGGACATATGAGGAGAGATGTAGATTGATTACATCACCTTTTAATTAATAATATCTTCAGTGGCTAACTTTTTATTTATTTCATTTATTTAGATCAAAAATTGTGTAACTAATGCAAGCAAATGAAACGATTACTTCAAAACATTACCTAAATTATGCCCTTCACAGGTTAGCTGTAGGAATCGGAAAAGACTACATGTAAATTCAGAATCATTTAGATTTTGGTTAGCAGCAGCAGCTAATTCAGCACCCATACCAAGACCCTCAGCCTGCAATTGAAATCGCTTTTAAAAAATAATATCAAAAATTTCAGGAAACAGGAAATAATTCGTAGGGTAGGGAAGGGTAAACCTTGATTTGTCGTTCATACATTTCAAGATTCAGCACACTGCACTTATTCATCAAACCAGCTAATGAAGTGAAGAAGCGAACATCCTTTTTTAGTTGCAGGTAATCGATCAACATCTGTAACGATTCTAGAGAATAATACTGCTGAAGAAGCTTTTATTTTTATAGCAAAAAAAACTATCATATTTTATAGTTTTATTTAGTGTTACTTATTGCTCATTATTTAAGTATTAGCAATACTTAAATAATGACTATGTTCCTCTAAACAGGTATGCCTAATTTTAGTTTCAGATCAGTTTGTGCATTAGTTACAATCTGAACTGGATGATTAATAGAAAACATTTAGTAATACCTTACTTCACCAATCTTAATTGAACACACATGGACTCAGCAGTTTAAGTCATATTGCTCTCTCAAAAGGCAAATTTCCTTAAAAGATACATAGATATCGTACATTCGAATTTTACATAATACTTGCGATAATTCCTACAATTTATGTCTATGTCCCTAAAATAATTTAAAACATTAACGGTGGAACCTCTTGAATTTTGCTATTTCCGCCATTGAGAAGATGAATGCCTAGTTGTAGGGCTTCTGCCACCATATCACTTGGTTCACCATTACTAGCAGACAAGTACATGAGACACATTATTGCTGCCCCGCGATCTGCCAGAACTGCTTGTTCTGCACGAAGCGCTTGCGATATTTCTTCTTTCTGCTGAAACACAGAAATTTACTTATAATGGCAAATACACTTATCTCTCACAAAATTACCAGATCCTGATAACCTTAATATACGAATCTGCTGCAATCAGTTCAATACTGCTAAATGACCATGGATACCGCAAAACTAACCGCCTGATCAAGCTCCCCCTCGTCGTCGCCTTCATCCTCATCTTCGATGTGTATCGATTTCGACATCACTTGAGCAAAATTCACAAACAGTGAATCATTAGCAATGGAGATCGTTTGACTCTGCTCACTTGTTGCTGCACGTTGGAAGCACTGAATTAGTTGTTTCAGTGGGTCTGGAAGAGCTTGAGGCCTAAAATTACTTGATTTGAAAACAACATGTGCAGTGACTATAATCTGCCAATTTTAAAGTAGTTCCTTTGATTGAACCTCATATTTTCAAAGTTACTTTTAGGATTCATTCACATTAGAAATTTTATAAAAGACATATTATCCGCCAAGTAATAAAAAATGAAAAAAACCAATCTGCCAATGCAAATAAACGAACTTTTCGTCTTTTTCGTCACTTAACACGTCCTCATCTCCAGATTTACTGTATGCTTGTTCTTGTTTTTCATCTTCTAACTACAAACAATTTTCTTTAAGATAAAGGCATTTTATTGAATTCATTTTTCCTGTTTATTCGCTTCGTCTTATAGAGGTAAAAATTTATTGCAGTAGGAATAATGATTAGTACACAGTACTGAACTACAGTCGGATCAATACAGTAGTTAGATAATACAGCAGTTAGACGATCTGAAACCCTAACAACCTAATGAAATTAGAAGCGGAATTTTGAGCTAGTAATTTGAACCTTTTAATATATCGATGCATCACGTAGAAGAAAGCTCTAGTAGTCTTGATGCCTACAATATTACCAGATCCAGTCACTTAATTCGAATATTTATGATTTTAATATCACAAAAATTAAAATTATTAAGATTACTAACTGTAAGCTCCTTGATCAATGCATCTTGTCCAACATCTTCATCTTCCAGCCAAAGTTTGTTAAAGGCCGGCAGGAAGAAATTGATAGCTCGATGTCTGGAAAGTTCCAAATTTTAACATAGTATAAACATAAATTCCAATTGTTTTGACACTTTTGAAATCAAATGATTCAAACGAAATAAATTGATTCAAATAAAGTAAATTAAGCAAAGCTTTCAAGAGAACATAGGAAACCTAAGATTGACAAGTTAAATACATATTTTGTTTGAAAGTTGAAACAAATGACATCATGCATGTAGCAGAAATCTAAGCGTAACTCAACTTCTTATCTAGCAAACTTCAACGAAAATTTCATATCGGAAGGAAATGCTGCTCGTGTTCGTTACACATATAAATGAAAACCGAAATTTTCAAAAAAGAACTTAATAAAAAAAAACAAAAATGTTAGAAATTGTCATGTAACGAATACTGCAAATCGGTTTTTTAGTTCATGCGCTTTTGAGAATGAAATGTAATAATGTAATCCGCTTATTTCGAATGGGTCATAATGTCATTCTGGAAATTTCAACTTCTTAAAAGATGTTTTGGACAAGTCTGAGGTTAAGACTTCAAAAGCAAACATGGAAAAATGGAAAAATAAATACAGAGAGGAGCAAACACAAACAAACAAATAAGTAAGCAAAAAAACTAATATTGTAGACAAATGAGTAACGATTAAACTGGACAACGTAATTCTATTTTTATTATGATGCTCAACAAAAAATAAAAATGAAAGAACAAAAATGTCAAAGAAGTTTCGAAATATCATTCCATGACAAGAAAATCAACTCGTCTCCAAATTTCCATTGCATCAGTTCTTTTCGAGTATATTTACTTAAAGCAACTTAGGCCAGTGGCAAATATTAAACGTGACAAAAGCAGTTGTATTGCTCAGTATTGCTCATTAACAACACTATTAGCTACATATTTTCAAAAATTTGAGAACCAAGTTTTTATTTAGAAATTTTTTGGAGAAGAAGAGAAAACAAGAGTGAAATACAAAAATAATCGCTTCTGGTGAATTATCTAAGTGGTAATTGGAAGTGAAGAAGTTCAAGGAAGTAACAATTACTTGTTATTTGTTGTTGAAGGATTCCTATCCTGATTATTTATGTATCACTGAAAAAGCAACGCTTACATTTCAACTCGATACAGATGACTTGCCGTTATCAAACTGATAGCCATACGTTTTCGTTGCAGTGTTAGGACACGTTCCCATCGACTCTCCTTTTTAAACTTACTGGTTGCCTGTGGTAAAACAACGACATATTGAACACAGCATAAAAAATTGTGGTTCCGACCAATTAACTTACAAATCAGCTATAGCATCGCTACAGATAAAGTGAAAAAAGTTAATTTTGCTTACTTCTCGCAAAAAATATCAACTGATGATAAAAGGAATTGTTTTCTCAATTTCACTCATTAGTTGAAAATTTAAAACACTACTAAAACTCTGTACTGATGCCGCTGTTGAGAGAATGGAAAACGAAAAACAGTTCTTGTCAAAGTATAATTAGAGTCAGATGGAAACACAAACACCCACGCATTAAATGCAATAATTTCACGATGCCAAGTTGACAATCAGCAAATAGATATGAAAAGCTAGAACCAGTATCACTCCTTTGAATTTCTTGCTTAGTTATAATTCAAACTGGCATCGATCGATGAAAGCAATAAGAAAATTTTTGTTACTTCAAACTGTATTTTATGCATCATGCAACAGAGGTTGATAGATAGCTTAAAATCCAAATTAGAACTTTTGGAATAAGTTAATGAAGAGCAGAATGGAAATGTAAAAGTGAATTCGAGTTTAGACACTCACAAAAGTACATGTAAATTTCAGTTGTTGCTATTCAACGATTGTTCCATCATTTCATATGGGAAAAAAACGCATACTTTTTAACACAAACCGCAATCGGTAATCAAATATTTACTGGGCATATTTATTAGTTAGTTGGGATATTGATAAAAAATACGCAGCGGAATTTCCAGAGAAATAGTTGTGAAAACAAAGAAAATTAGAGAGTTGTTTATATTACTGAAGGATTGAGTGAAAAGAGAAAAATTCGACTGATTTGTTCAATTCAAGGACAGCATTAGTGAGTGATATGATACCTCGGAATTCCATAGAGTGGAATCATTCTGAAGCAAGCAACGACAGCTCTTTTGCGTTGACTGGATAACATTGTCTTCCAAGCATTAACCATCGAGCCTTGTGGATGTTCTGTCTAAAATGAACATATGCTATCTAGTAGGAGTAGGAGTAGGAGTAGGAGTGGCGGTGAAAATCTCAGTGAAGGAAGAAAAGAGCAATGAGAAGCAACCTTGATTCTTCATTAATGCTGAAAACCTGAAAGCGAACAGTCATTCGAAAGTTAAATGTCTTATGAGACCGTATTCAGCTATTTTTCCTTCCAAAACTCAAATAATCCATCTTATCTCCCTCTCTCTCTCACACACACACACACTTTGTAGTCGTTCCTTGCAAATTCATCAGTTCTGTTTCTTAAATATAGACTTTACTTGAAGCTGGAATTTCACTTTACTTTTTTTTAGAAGTAAAGTAATTCAACGAGATTACGAATAAGTCACATATTGATTAACATTTCCCTCTTGATTCTGTTGAAGTTTTTACGAAGCTTTCCGACATCAACAAGTCGATGAAAAATTTTGTTGGAGTTGTCAGAAGTTTTTTTTTTTTTTTTGAGAAAGAGAGAAAGGGGTAGAAAAAGCACAGCAGCTCAATTAATTCAAAAGCATCAAAAGAAATTGGAAAGGAACCAAAAAATTTTGATCTAAAATGTCCATGCGATTATTAGAGCCTAAAAAAGAAAGACTAACTATTATAAAATATTTTAATAAGAGGCAAACAGGAAAGAACTATCAATCTGAGACCTCCTATCGTCTAAACATCTAAATATATTGCATCAAAGCGATTGGACAAGGAAACCTACATCATAATTTTTCTGATTCCATAAATACACCTACAATATATGTTAAAAACAGATTACTTCATTCCTTGATAGCTAAATCATTCACTGAGCATTTTGCTTATAACATAAATGCAAAATATCTATTAATATCACTTCCTTTCTTAGTGCAATTGTTTTTGAAGTGAGATCAGAATTTGATTAACAATTTCCATATTTTCATTCATAAGCAAACATATTTGATGTATGGATTTTCATTTTTTTTTTTATTGATTTTTCCTTGTACAGAAAGAGAGGACTAAAAAATAGAAAAGAGTAAAAAGTTGTATTAATAGCAAATAATTCGGGATAAAAGATGTGTATAGTCATCTGAGAGTGTTTCAAATATTATTAAAAAGTAGACGGAAGACTAATAATTTGTAATAAAGAAATTGGAAAACTGAGATACATAAATTTAGAAACTAATTTCTAAAAGTATTTAATGATGAGTTAGTTTTACAATGGTTTAGGGACCATTTCCCTTATGATAAAGTAAAAAATTTTATCAGGAAACAACAATAACATAACGTTTAGTACAAGCAATACATCTCTAATTTTTCGTCGGACTTTGATAATGATAAGTTGAAGATAATATTTTCATTTCCGGTTAAAGTGAAACTGATCATTTGTAACAAGATCAAACAGCTGAATGGAATATGTGATGTTAGAACTATCGTGCCATTTATGCTCTATATACTAACGTCGAGAAGCATAAGTGATGCTGATATTCACAATTAAGAAATTCACATGAACTCACCATTTCAGTGAATTTCTTTTGGTCTTAACTTGAGAAGTAAGCTATCAGGCTATTATAACTTTAAAGTTTTTCTGGCTTGAGCAAGGATAAGAAAAGAAAGCAAGAGAAGGAACAAGTTAAAAATAAGTGACTGACTACTATCATTATCCACTCCTGACTTAACTTACTATAATATGAAGCGGGGGGCTATGCAAAATTATGGAAAAGAAATTATTATGTCGTCTCAGTAATAAAAAATTCTAGGAGGTTTGATCTCACAATCATTTGATTGTGACTTCAGGGTAAATTCTATTTAGTAATGTTATCTGCATCACTTCTGCTCTTACTACATAAAGGTTATATTACACCAGCATTGTAATCTATCCTAGTTGCAAGCAAAAAAGTGCCTCAATTAAATGTTTCGAAAATTGCACTAATTTATTGAAATTCGTTAATCAAATACATGTCCTGTTAATTCATAAATGAAGCGAAAATAACCTACAACGTGTAGGATAGCGACCACCTGACCCATACTTGTTATTTTATCGACTATTCCATCGAGCGTCATTACATCCTTATTCCGCATTTGGGATTTTCCGATTTTGCGATAAAGATTTAATTGCCAAGCATTCTTATCAGTCGGATCTGTCTGAAATGCCGCTGAGTTCGAAAAATTGTCTAATTCAAATTTCAAACATGAGTTTGCCCTATCTGACATTATAAAGCTAACATTTAGAACATGTCAGTCATTTTTATTACTCATCGCATCGTGATTCACAGTAATAATTAACCACCTAAAAACAAACCTTAGCTGGTATGTCAAGGAGAGAACGAACAAGTTCACGTATTTTATCTTCCGGTTCCTTGGCCAAGAACTTTTCTTTCGCCTGTTGCACTATGTCCAACTCACGACCACCGAATACATTTAAACCAACGGGCAATAATCGCTTCAAACAAGCTATCACGATCGAACCTGCATGCTTGTCTTTACGCATCTGAATAAATTCATAGCTTTGTTCTAATAGAACAAATCAAATTTTACACAAATCTCAATACTTTTCTCATAATCCATTTTAGTACCTGTCCTTCACGCCGTTTCTTTTTACGTTCCGCAATAGCAGCTTTTCCAGTTTTCATTTCACCAGTACCACCAGCTACCGATTCATCCTCATATTGAGCCATAAAATTCAATTCTTCACGCTTAAAATGCTGTGAAAGAGACCAGATCTAGAATGCATACATTACAAAAACGGATTTTTCTGTCAGTTTTTGTTACCACTCGTAAGCCCATCAAGACAGTGACCAACCATAGTTATTGTTAAATAAGTATTAAGATGATCGTTCGACCAGAAATCAATTTGATAGCTTGATAGTTTGAATATACTTTGTTTCTTTAAAAGAGAATATCATACTTCAAATGCTTCAGAGACTTTAAAATTACACTAACTTTGAAAATTATAGCAACATTCTCGTAAACACCGTCTGTTTCCCAAGACGGTGATTTTAGCCACTGTGCCCGATGCAAGTCTGTATATTTCATTAAAATTGGGAAATAGGCGTACACATCTCGTACGAGATGAGCGTTATCCTGAAAGTTACTCGGCGTAATTATGAAATAAAGGCGACTTGATTTATTATCAGCATAAATGCATGCAATACGCATTCATTCCATTGCGACACACTTCGCAATGCGTGTCGCAATTATTGTTTTTCATCCTTTATAACACTTATACTCTTAATTTACAACATTACATATGCTTTTTCTTTGGGACAAAATATATTTGAAAAAAATCATTTTACTGTTACCTCAGCAACCGTGCCTTCATCAGCATCATCAGGATGAGTACGCATATGTTCCTCTTCTCTATATGCTTTTTCCGCCAAGCGCCTTAAGCGTTCTGCAACTGGAAGCATGTAATCTTTCACCGCATCGCAGCTCACGTATGGTATAATTTGAACAGAGAAAAAATTAATCCGACAAAGCCAGGAAGCATTCTCTACACCAATGTGATTATGAATCATCTGGAGAAGTGCACGGAAAATTCGATTGATGTGTTCATTACCAACATCCGTGACTGGTACACTAAAATCAAAGATTATGTGGAAAAAAAAAGCTAAGGGTTTACCGACAAAATGTAACTGGAAATTAATAAATGAGATGATCTGCTCGACTTAAAATATTGGAAATTAAATTTTTTAAGTTATATTTCTGTATGAAGCAACACTACAGAAATACTGAAGAAAATGGACTTAATATACTGATGCAAGAAGGTTCTGCCGAGCGGATTTAAGACCTAATAAGAAAGCAATAGGTATCACTCAATTTCAGAAGATAACTTCTATCATGCGAATAATATTTGATAGAAATAATGTAGCTCTTAAACATCGAATACAGGTTAAATAGATCTCACGTCGATCGATTACTGCTGTCGGGGCCAAGCTGCCACCAGTAAGTCAAGTAAGAACAAATAAGTGGTAAATCGACATCGTAAGCAGCTGGTTGTTCGCGATACATGGCACCTGATTGTCCCACTTGCTCCACTTCCGTTAATAACTTATCCAGTTGAGGAATATGTGCCAACAAATTTTGCAACATTTCTAAAAGATTAAACTAATCTAATTCATCACAGTACTGGATAAATCAATTTCCCTTTAACCATACCATTTGTAAAGTTGTTATTAAATCTGACAAAAAGAAGTAATATTTAAAAAAATCTGTAGTGTTTAATGAAAACTTGCAAACTTTGCTCGGAAATGTCTCTTATTTGTATAAATTATTCACACAATCATGACTTTCTTGTCTTCATCAATTTTCAGTTCAATTCAACGAACCTTGTACTTGTACAGATTGATCTTGCGACTTAGCCAATAACGAATATTTATTATTTTTATTAAACTTATCTTCCAAAAAGGCTACAGGAAAACATCCAGCGAATGCTGCAAGACACTGACCAAGAGCTGGACGATGCCTGTAATAAAATTATAGCGTTATAAAATTACAGCCTGTGGATGGGTTCGAGTATTTCCCAATATTCTAAACAGCAAGTTTTAAAGACCTTTCATTCCGTACTTTTTCGCTTCAGTTCCTATTTAAAACAGCAATGCATACTTATCCATTTCATAAGCAATTGATTTCCTTTGCGAAGTAGTTGCTGCTAAACTATTCAGAAGATATGCACTGTCCAGAATTTTATAACATGCTGCTTGAATTTCATCCACTGGAAAAAAAAAAAAAATGAAGTCACAAATAACAATATCAGCAGATTTTGTGAAGCCAGTTTTTAAAAGTTCAATGAATTTCCGGAACTTTGAGAAAAACATATTATAAACTAACATAATAAATCACTGCCAAAATGATTTATAGCCAAATGTACAAACATCGTCGTCAGTACAGGAATAATCATCTGATTGGCGAATTCTAGTGATACCCAAGATTTTAAATTTTGGCCTCGTAATAACGAATACTGTCCACCATTTTGAAGTTCTTCAACAGCGGAAAATAGATCATCGGCACAATTGTTGAAAAATGTCAATAAACCGGTGCGCACAATGTCCGAATTTATTTTCACTAATGTTCTGGAAGGAAATTTAATATAAAATTACAAAAAAAAAAAAAAACTTCAAAATCCAAGTCAAAACATTAACGCTATTGATGATAATTCAAATTTCCTGAATAGCATACCTCAAATCAAGTGATTGGATAAGACCTTGCAAACATCGTACGGTTATCTTTGCAACATTTCCGAAAGCATGATTTTTAAAGCGAAGTAGCGATGCTAGTCGACAAAATAAGCTGTTAATATAAAAATTATTCAATATTAAACGATTTGAAATCTTAATGAGTTTTATTTAAGTAAAAAGTAAGAATCAAAGTAGTGCTAACATGGAATTGAAACCTAAGAAAATTCAGGAGAATTGGAAATCGAATTTTTCTAAGAATTTAATGTTTTACATATTTGGTTTGGTAGACATTTTTGGAAGCAAGAAAAGTGCTAGAAAAAATTTAAAAAAACAATCGTAATTTCACATAATTGAATAGTTCTAAACCAAGAACTTACTTTGCAACCATTTCTTTTTCCTTATCGGAAGCCATTCCGGTTTGCACAACACTGCTATTAGCCAAGAAATAATTCTTATGTGCATTAAAATACGCATGCATCAAAGGTAATACTACCTTAAATTCACGAAAAATTACACTTCAAAAAATTGAAAAGAAAAAAATCAAGAAATGTGAAAAGCACTAACTTTTTCGAAGAACTTCACATCTTGGCCTTCTTTCCTAAAACTGTTCTGACGTGTGAGCTCCTGACTAGGCTTAATTGTCTTCATTTTTAAAGATGCCTGCTCCAGATATTGGATTAGTTTCTTCAGCAAGTTATATGCAAATCGTTTCTCCACTGAACTACGTTCACTATCAATTTTGACACGTTCCGCGGATGGCTCAGGCTTATTTGAACTGTAACAAAAATTGCTTGCCTTTATACTCTTGAGTACTTCAAACCAATAAATATTCTTGTTTTGAGAAGACCTTTTGATAGACTGATCAGAATTCAACAAATGTCTACCTCCAAACGCGATATCCATGGTATTGAAGAAATTTCAGAATTTCTGCAGCTCGAAACCGATCTTTTCGACGTTCAAAATCGGTCAACAAATCCCATGGCACAAGTTGTGGTGGCATAGTGCCTCCTCTATTTAAATCTGCGAGCACCTAAAAAATCTTGATTCCTTATATCAAGATAATATTTCTTAAAATGAGAAAATTATATTAAATGAAGAACAAACCAGTTTTGACACACTAACAAACCTTTTTAGCCCATATCTTGTGAGACTCTTCCGCCATCTTTTCTGCAATGCCCGTCATATCTTTTTCCAGTGTCATATTCGATAAGTCCACTGGTTTAGGATTGAAATTTTCAACTGCAAATTGAAGTGAATTTACTTCTCAATATTTTTAAAAAATTATCTGTTAATTACATCACGGATTTTGCTCGAAATCCTATTAGAATAACTCGAACTGAGCATATGGAAAATGTGCTGAAAGTTTCGTTTGTCGAGTACAGATATAGTAAATGATACTAATTACTCCCATGTGATGGGTAGGTCCATCAAAAAAGATACAGCGTTAGGGTATTCTAATGCATTTTCCATGTTTTTGTGTTCTTGCAATAGCGTCTTTTTGCAGATTCGAGATGGCCTAATGTATTCACTTCTTTTTTTTTACCTTACTAATAAAAATACCTACTCGAGCTACCCAAAGAAGTATTATTTTGAATAGCTTTATCGGCAGCATCACGATCCGTTAATTCAATCGAGTAATTCCATACCAATAGAGCACGCAAACATTCCGCACAACGTTCTTGATAGAAGTTTTTTTCCTACAAATTCATTCGTCAATATCCAACAGAAAAAAGAGGCAATAGAAAAATCCATTGCTTATCAGTTTATGTCCACTTATCAGCATAGTAAATTCAATTTTTTCAAATTCGATTTATTCGTTTAGTTACTAATTTTCTGTTAAGATAAAACTTTTATCTCAATCTCGTAAAAAATAATTTTCACTTTTTTTATGGGAAGAAATTCAATAAATAAACACTTACGAAATCGGGCAAGAATACAAAAGGTTTTAATCTTGGATGCGTGAGAGCTTGACGTGAATACAGCTCACCGTAATTCCAACCTTTTTCGATCTGTAAAGAATTAGGCATATCGATCCAGAAACTTACTACCCAACCTAACAAAATTAATCAACTAGCTGTTATTAATGAATTAACGCAAGAAATCTCCACATGACACATAATAATTAAAATTCCAACAAGAACTCACCTGAGATTGATTCGTACGAAATTTCAATTTTTATATTCACTATGTTAAAATAAAACATTTACTTCGTGTTGCGCCATTTGTAAAAAGCTTTTACCTTCCTGCTGGCCCATGAGTCATGAAAATGTTCTGCAAATTTGGCTACTACTGACTTCAAGTCATCGTCAAAGTGAACTTCACTGACATCAACCGGATCCGGATTCCAGATTCCGCGATCTTTTGTTTTCTGAATCCTGTCCGTATCGTCGCCGGTAGTCGTCAGCGTATAATCCGGCGATATTGCTGAGCCTATGAATCATAATTAATTTTTATTCCTTTTATTAAATGCCTAAAAAATATAAAAATTCCCAGCCTGACGTGAAAAATAAAACCATTCATATAGTAGAAACACAGAAGGAAAATTAACATGATAAAAAAAAAAAGGAAAATGGGAAATAGATGGAAAAAAAGAAAAAAAAAAGATAATTCAAGTTAGGATAATTCAAATTATAATAAAATAGGAAGATGGGAAAGAGATGAAAGAAAAAGAGAAAGAGGTAATTCAAGTTAGATTAATTCAAATTATCCTAACTTGTCATAATAAAATCAAAAATATACCAATAGCAGTCAGACACGGAAGAGCTTTCCCAAATAGTTCCGGATCATACTGTTTACTACCAAGCGAATCGAAAATAGCATAGAACAGTAGCATGGATAATCTCTTTTCTGTCTCAGAAGCCATTCCATAAATATTCCCCGATCCATAATATTTCGTACAGCGTTCGTAATGTAGTGTTAGAATCTATGAGTTAGTTAGTCAGTGTTGGCTACTTGTTTCAAATATAACTTCACATAAATTATGAGCATAAAGTGAAGATCCGTTAATAATAGCAAATTTAAGAATTACAGATACCACTTGTAACACTCCTGATGATAATTTAGTAATGAAAGTCAAATTGCTACGACAACCAGAGTATATTATACAGAAGTTGTGGCTTCTCCCACTCATTTGTTAACTCAAAACATACTCGCAGTGGAACCAAAAGATTCTCATCCATTTCCTGGATATCAATGATAACTTTGCGCATCAATTTGACCATCATTGGTGGTGGAAGTTCACGAGTGATGGCAACCAGAAAATCTGATACCGCATCACGTTGATTTTTAGTCAATGATCGCAGATGATTCATGCTATAGACCTAGAGTGAGATGGGTAAAAAAGTAGTTAAAGAAATTTCGTACCTACAATTAGCAAATTTACTAATATTCTTCAAGATAACTGTCAAACTGATAAAACTTTTTCCAACAACTGATAATCAAAAAGTTCGCAAAAAGATTTTCAGCATTCTCTCTCTAAGACAAAGAAGTTTTTTTAATTGAAAGGTAGATAACCGTATGCAACGTAGTATCGAGAAGTGCAGCATGATGTTCAGCGTCAGCAAAGTAATATGAATGACTGGTAAGTAAAGGTAGCACAGCGTTGCACAGATAACGATTTAGTGCTAACGCCGTATCACTTTCCACAGAGCATGGCTGCAATGTGTAGTGACAGGTAGTAGAGCACTTTCAATTAAATAGCAAAATTAAAAATTAATTCTAGAAACTTTAATTGCCACTTTTTAAAGTATGTACTTTTGGTAGCAAAGATATTGATGAATCTTAAAAATATGACTTGAATTTTTCACATAAACATTGAAACCTCAAAGAATTCATTTAAAAAAATTGCACTAGTAAGGAAGAAAATATATGAATTTTCTTCGCAGATAATCATATTCCTAATGCTATATCCTACTAACCGAATCCATCATCGTAGCAGCTCGAAGATCTGGTAGGAAACTTTTCTCAAGAAAATGGAAAAGCATTTCTTGTGAATCGATACCATAAACACGATCCAGGAATAGGAGAACTGACTGTTTATGATTTGGAAGAAGACCAGGTAATGGTCCAACATCTGCAATATTAATTTTTCTCTATTTTCCAATTAATAGCCTGAAAGAGAAGCATAAATCAGAAGAAAATGAACTCATACTGACCTTTAGAAACATTTGTAAATAAGAATTACATCACCAATTCTTTATTTTAAATTTACGAACAATTTTGACACAATAGAACATGGAAAATTCAACGAACAGATAATTTTAAGCTATTTATTCCAAATCTTCAAATTTATAGTTGGAGAAAATCAGTAGGTTACCAGTAGGGTAGTTTTGGTTGTAGGCAACTGCCATTGCCTATAACCAAAACTAATTACTAGAATACACTGTGAACTAATTAAACCTACAGTTCACTTTAAATGTATTTAAAAAATCAATATATGCAATTAGATGAAGGCAAAGAAAGAAATTAATGATAAATTAGTTTAGTTGATTCAAATGGAATCAATGTTGTGTGAATAATTTGAAATAGAAATCATCTTAACGTTGGATTAATTGATCCTTTAAAGTTCATAAATGAAACCAGTTTGATGATTAAGATCATTTCTCGGAAATCGGATAAAAATCGGATACAGACATCTTATTTTTAAAGTCAAAATGAAATATACATAACATAAAAATGAGGAAGACACTCATTCTTCCACTCTTTTTTCCTCCCTTTTAATGTACAAATGAAACTTTATCAGATGTCTGCTTTATTAATATTTTATTAATATACTAAAATCTGACTAAGTCCGGCAGTGATAATTAAGAGAAAATGAGGACGATCAGGAGATCAGGATAAACTTCAGAGGGCAACTGAATAAATATCATTTACTCCGTGATTCTAATTCTTCGTTGATTCTAATGTTATCATATAGGCCATTTGCTTCATATGTTCCCTTACTCATTTATTTTTTTTACTGTTTTTTCTGTTAGTAACTGGTTTTCTTCAAAATACTTTAGTCTTGAATTAAATTCAAATCTAGTTGTTAAATGGAACTTGAAAATTTAACTCAAGAAATGTTAATTTTCATATGGAAGCAACAACCGGTTTTCAGAAAAAGATTAGTTAAAATTAAGCAACTTAAAGTACCAATTAAAAAATAAAATTAAAATTAACCATCTGTCGCTACTGAAGTTATCAAATTTGGTATAGTAAAACGTAAAGCTAGGATTTGACCCAAATCGTCCAACGAAATCAATGAACGCAATATAGCGCGGGCTCGCATACAGTCTCCTTTTCCAGCCTGGAAAATTATGTTCGATTTTTCTGGTTTGTTAAATAGCTTGAAATCACAAAACATTGCAATTCAGAAACTACTTGTATGTTAATTTTATCGGGAGCACATTTAGCGAGCAAATCAACGAGCGAAGAATAGAAATCCAGCGTTGCAGCTCCAAGGTCAACATAATCTTCACCTTCTGTCTCTTTGTTTGGATAATGTCTGAAAACAAATAAAAGCTAAAAATTTTGCGCCACTGACCACTGTGATTTTCTATTTGAAATTTCAAAAAATTCAAAGTTCAACTTTTTGCGACAGTTCAAATAAAGAATTTAAAATATTATAAAATCAAATAAAAAAATTAGCAAGTACGGCTGTTCTCTCAATAGCGCACTATGGATGACAGCACGATTCTTATTCTCTTCCAACGTCCGAATATCCTCTGAAAGTGCGATTGCCTCCTGCAAAAGATTGTTCCGAAATTCAGACTCATTTCAAGTTTTAAAAAACTTCTTGATAAAATATCTTGAACTCTCAATATTTTAGGAAAATCACAAATTTTATTCCTACTTCCTTCATAATGATTGCAACAAATTAAATTTCCTCAGTCTTGAAATCTGCTCAAAATTCTAAATGCAAATTCTTTACATGATTTTTTGTGAGGACTTTATTTTAATATTTATTAATTTCGTTCTCCAAAGTGTTAATTTTATGCAACACCTGTTCGTAATATAAAGTTAAGATCGGTCAAAAAATAGAAGTTACCTTAAATGCTGAGAATAGTCCTTGTCCTTCACCTTTCAGCGCAACACCAAGACATTCCGGCCGACGAATCAATAACCGTATCACTAAATTCGCATTCTCTTCGACACTTTCTCCGTTGATCCAAACACAGAATCGCAAGAAGTCAATGTACCGTTCACCTTCCACTGGATCCCAACCAATATCTGGATAACCTTTAGCGACCAATTCTAAATTTGGCTGAAAAGTGAAAAAGTAGTCATTGAAAATGACTATAATGACATTCTTTAATAATATCAAAAATTAGACGCAATACTTTCAGTTCAGTAATGCCATGCAAACCACTGCTTTTACTTTAAAGCACTTTAAAACACTTAGAAACTCTTCTTTTCAGATAAAGGTTATTTAAAATATGGATCTTTCTCACCTGCAATCCACACCTGCTAAGATATACTGTAACTTTATCCAGTTCTTCCTCCTTCAAAGCCAAAGCCAATTCATTATTGTCCATGAAGCTCGAATATGCAATATCAAGTGGCACAGAACCTATGATTTACAGAAAAATAAAAATTACCTTCCAAAGCATTTAGAAAATTCATGTACTGAGTGGGAAAATCAATTGAATAAAGGCAAATAAATTTTAGGAATGAATAGGCTTGTTCACCTCGCAAGCTTGGTCTTGCAAGAAGCATAGTTGCGTTATCCAACAAAAACGATAGATGCTCAAACATGGCTTTTTGATTTTGACGAGAAGTTCGACAGAAGTAACATAGGAAACGTGAGCACGCAACGACCATTTCAGACGCATCCTGAAATTGAAAAACTGAAATTAATATATCCATTTGTGTAATTAACAGCACTTGTGATATCAATGCTCCACCACTTTTAAATGTAGAGATTACAGAAATCAGATAGCAACAGTGTAGAGGTTTGACATACAAATGCAATTCCGTTCAAGTCTAGAAGCCTAGTCAGTTCAGATTTTATTAATTTCTTAAATATCGTGCCATTGAATTCATCCGTAAAGATATTTAAATTTTTGGTATATAAAAGGCGTTAGATCGGTTTTTTTTCTACTAATTCTACTTGTAGTCCCTTTCCCTTCCAATTCAAATCCTTTTTACGAATATGTTCAGACTAATGTTATTTCCATTGTATCAAACTATCTTTACCTTACCTTAGAATCTTGTGCATTTACAATTTCTTCCATATTTTCAACATGTTCTGTATGCTCGCCATGATTTGTAGCTCCTTGTTGTGCTGTGAGGACGTTCATCATAATGGACATTACATTTTCATGCACTGTTAGAAGACGCATCAGATCAGGATGTTGAAAGAAAATGCGGTTGTTCATTAGTTTCCTTGAAAAGTTTAGAAAACAGCTGTAAATCAGGACTACTAGAACAACAACAACTGGGTATAAACAATTAAACAAGCAATCTTATATAAGCCCATCCCACATAAAGCAGTAAGTATAAAAAATAACTAATAAGTTCTTTAAAAATCTATGAGAGTTCAAGAAATCGCTCCTTACCATAATCCCCTTTTTAGGATCGCTTCTTCAGCACTTTCAAATTGCACACTAAGCAGCTCCCGAACTTGGACCAAATTTTCAATGAAATCTTGTACATCCTCTATATTACGTTCGTGCAACACATATGTTTGCGACAAAGCCTTCATCATCTGCAAGTGTCAATGGATCAAAATTTCGGGAAAGGATTAATGTTGCATTAAGATGTCTGTTCTTCCAAGCCCATTTCATGTATAATTGTCTATTTTGAGTATCATCGAGCGCAAATGATTACAAAAAGATGAGTTGCGGATTAAATTCAATTTAAATAATGCGTCCAATAATAATGAAAGATACAAATTTTTGAGATAATTTATTTCTGCTGTTAATGATCCCAAGAAATTATTTTCCTTTTGCTCGATTCTTCAATTTCATCTAATTTTAATGAAAAGATAGAGATAAGCCATAAAAAAATTTTCATTTCGTCCTACAGTGCTACCTTTCAACCAATATTTTCAGTCGGTTTATTAAAGCTAAACTAAAATTTTGAAACAATGCTTCTACTCACCTCAGCAACACCAGTATACTGGCGCAAAAGAAGACTGAACATCTTTCGGATCAACTCGTTACTTTCTATCACTGAAGACGTTGCCCAAGACTTCAGCATTGTGCAAATCATAAGCCTAAATTTACTAACTAAACGATCAAAGCAACGCTACAATCGTTATTACGTACAATCTTGAGCGTGAATATCGTCATATCGTTAGAACAGTTGCAACTGAAAATTAATATTTTCGCGAACCTAAAACTTTCTGTTCCATTATGATTCATGCTTTTATCCTCGCCAGTGAATGGTGGTGGTACCCGAATAACAAGCTGAGCTAACTGATCCACCCATGAATTGGCTTCTTCCAGAATCACCAACTCTGAGAGCTTATTACGCTCTTCACTCTTAACGCATCCTACTCTGCCCACTAACAGTGAACAAAATTGTCTAAAATAGAATAACATTAGCAAGAATTGGAAATAGATTTATCCAAAGATGAAACTAAACAAAAACACATTCTTGTTCTTGACCATTCTATAAACTTGGATTATTATTAAGGATGATTGTAATGCTGATTTTCTTTTTTTTTTTTAAACGGTACGGGCCGGGTTTTAACTCTGAATATTAGTTAAAGCATTTTTGTCAAAAACACAGATAATCTTACATTCTACAATAATTCTATGTCTTTGTTGTCTCTTTATAGGTGTGCACAAACCTTAATTGTTGCTGTAATGTCTCATTCATTGGACATTGGTCGTATTCCGTTTCATCATCCAACATTATGCCTATACTATCGTCCGGTACCGCTTTGCATTTCATTAATCGAAACATCTATTCAAGGAAAAGATAGTAATATCAGAATATTATTAGAAGTTAAAAGAATTTTTGGGTAATAAAATGAAATTTAAAAACAAAAATGCAAATTAATCATTGGCAGGATTTTATTTCATAATTAGAAATGAGATTCCGTTTCTAACATATATTAGCCATACTTGCTCTCGAGGTGGACATCGAAATTCTTTCGTACGCCTGGCTGCTTCAGCTGGTGTCATATTTGTCTGTTTGATCGACATATATCTTCAAAGTCCATAAATTTAGAAAATCCATTTAACTTATAAAAAGTTACTTAACTAAATCAATTTGTTTAAAAGGAGTAATTTCAAAAATTATTCTAAACTTTTGCAACAAAACAATAAACCTGGAAAACTGATCTTGCTGTAAATCATTGACAAATCCAGCAGCGAAAGAAACCAACGATTCAACCCGATGCCTCAGTTGGATGTTGCAGATATTTTCAAGGATAATCGTAAGCTGAATTTTCACACCCTCCGCCAACTCAATTTCTGTCAAACCTTTTTGTTTCAAACCTGAACAAAAAGGAAAGCAAAGCTATCGTTCAGAGTTATTTAGAAAAACAAAGTTTTAAAAAGTTCATAAGTTCACCGTCTGCATTTTGATTTTTTGATTTCAACATAATTTCCATTTTTTTTACTGAGATCCAAAACTTCTTCTTGATATTTAAATAATTGAAATTTGATTTGAAAGAACACGGACTACAAGATTTTCGTAGGATTTCCGATTAAATATTCCATTAAATCAGAAATAAATATGTCATAATTTCTTCTCCCAAATCTAATTTTTTGACTTGCTATTTATTTCAAATCAAACCTGGAACATAATTTTCATCAAAGGCAATAGGATGAATTAATTTCATAACATCTTTCAGATCATCGTCATCAAATATTCCGATTACTAACAGAGCATTAAACAATTTGAAAAGTGGTCTGAAATATTAAAGTATTTATTTTGAATTTAAATTGCATGCAGAGCATTTTATTTCATCTCTATATCATCTATTTCTTTTTTCAATAAATAAAATGAAATGAAGCTTTTCCTTTCTTCGAACTCAAACTTTTAATTTCTAACTGTTGTGATAATAAATTATCTTTCTGAATAATCATTTGTACCCTAACTGCTATTCATTGTAGTCATGCTGTCCCTTTTTCATAGAAAAAAGTTTGACATTCCTGAAACTTACTCAAAATGATTTAAACAGTTTCCACCAATTAAATCCCTGCAACTGATAACAGCATGTTCGGTTGCGCTACTTAACGCTGACATAACATGAGCCTTCAAAGCAACGAAGTTGAACGCAGGCGGTAAAAGCTTTGATTCCGCGTCCATTCCGAAACTAAAGGCCAAAAATAATTTATGCAAATTATATTCAATAAATTAAGCAACGATACTGCAAATTTCCGTTACTGTTAAAACCTCGCATCATATGAAATAATGGAAAACTCAGAAGACAGTTACATCGACAATGTCAAATGAATGCAATGTATCGCCAATACAAAATCGAATTGAAACAGACTTTGACAATTATTTTTAAAAATGTTAAGTCTCCTCCGTTTTTATCCAATCGTTAACTTGGATTTCGGAACTATGACGAAACTATCACGAAAAATTATTCATTTCTTGTAGAAAGAGATTATTAATCTTCTCGGAAAGAACCATCCTAAAGATACATCAGTTTCGAGTTCTATACAAAATTTCTGCCTATAAAATTTCTTGTTTGTTTATCAAGTTGCTTGACGATTCAGTGCAATCGTTTATCGTGCTATTATGCAACGTACCATAAATTCATTAACCACATTTTTCAATTGATTTACTTCATAGCGCAACAGTAATTAGAAGTATCTCACTTGTCTTTCTCGAAGTTTAAAAGAATATATCGCCGTGTTTTCGATCTTAACTTCCCGTAACTATTCCTAAATGATCTGATAAAGTACTTAAACTTGATTTTATAACTCAATATTAATTATATGCAACTTACTTGCTGCGCACTTCACTGCATACTATTACTGGTCGAATGGAGATTGTCGGTCCGAGAATTTGGGGAAAACGGTCCTCAATCTCTGGATGAAAGACATTTTTGATTTCGTGATTTTGCTTTAATGGAATAACATATTCATGGGTAGTAGACTGACGTGCATTAACATATGTTCGTAAGTGAACGGCTATAAGGAAATCGTGGAATCCTTGCCGAAGAGGTCCCGAAAGATCTAAAAGTGCAGTTTGGAATTTTCACAGTTTGTACTATTGCTACTGTCATAAAATCCGGAAAAATTGGAAAATTTGTGGTATGAACTGACAAGAGAAATTTCAGAATTTTGATTCCTTCTCCGAAAAATGCTGAATGATAGGACTAAAGTAAACTGGAGGGTTAATAATGATCGTGGTAGGATCTCGGATGCAGATCGATCTGGAATCTTCTTTAAAGTTTCATACGTTTGAAAATGCTTCAAAATTTACAATGACTCTTCACTGCATACAGAATCTGATCTTCGTCAACATGTGAGCATAAAATATGCGCTACTTTCTGGTTTCCATGCGCTGCTAATTTACAATATAGGTTGAGAGTTTGTCGATGGAATGTCAACAAATCATTATGCTCAATCATTTCCAGAATGTCATAACTAGTGTCCTTTTCCGGTATGTAAATGGACATTATGCGCACTGGATCGTCACACAGAACAGACCAACCTAGAATGTGCAGAAGGTTTTAGTCATGAAAAATTGTATGTCCGTCTTGAGGAGCTCTATACCTTCTAATGCGATTAAAGTTTGGAAATTAGTTGCACAGTATTTGATAAGCTAAATCTGGTTTCTAAAGATTTTTCGAATCTGCTCGACTACTTTACAGCATCGCATAGTTTAATCATTTATAAAAAAGAAAAAAAAAAAAAAAACAATATTCAGATGCTCTTACTGGTGTTCGCATGAAATTATCCGTTATCGCAATTATATTCATAAGATTTTAGTTTCTTTTATTTCCACAATTACATTTAGAGATTAGGCTGATAAAAATACCAAAAATCAAAATTTACCTCTAAAATCAGAAAGTTTAAGAGCTGTTGTTCGTAAACATTCATTAGGTACTCGAGCCCAGTGAACGGGATTTAATTTCTCAACCGTTAGTCGTGGTGGACAAAATGGTAACAAACTTTTGTGTGAGGATTTGAACATTGCCGATGATAACGGGAAAGTGTACTGGAATTGATGTACGTTTAAATAATATTTACACGCTGTTCCCAGTATTTAAATACTTTAGAAAATCCTCAGGAGGCAAGAAAAAATTACATCTACTATAAAACTAATAATTATTGCAATTTAAAAGGCTAAAAAAGTCCCCTGAAACAAAAGAATTATTCCTTTTCGTTGATCGTTTTTTCAATTTTCCTTATAAATCATCTTTTACAAACTATTTTTTAAGAATTACAACTTGTGCAATTTCATCAAGCTCCAAAGAAACTACATCTGAATCTTGGTTGAAGAAGCATTTTTGAATTCATAAGAAAAAAGCATACCTTTATTCGTCCAAGTTCGAATTGCAAAACTTCGGCGCTTGTAGGTGCTACAAATGCAGCAGGATAGAGAATAGCACCAGGTTCGAGCTGTGGTATGAAAAATAAATTGTTTAGTTACAATAGTTCAGTTCTACTTTTAGTATTTTAGTCATCTAACATTCGGGTTTGAATTTAAAAAATGTTTCACAGGATTTTACACTGAAAAACTGTTACAAATAATACAAAAATTGCAACAATAATAGTCGCCAAAATGATAAAAATTTACCTTAAATCGAAAACCAGTGTCTTGTTTTGAAGCCAAAAATGATAATTCTCCAACAGATGTATCAATGATACAACCGATCAACAGGCCGGATACTTTAGTATTCCCTGGTTCTGGCACTGATTGTAGCAACTCTGCGGCGTTCACCACATAACAGTTCCGATATTCTAAGCTGCAAAATTATTTTGTTACCTGGATTACTTTGGAATGCTTATATCTAGGTAACAGTGATCATTAAAAGAGTGCTTAAGATAACTGATCTGAATTGCTTGCAAACATTAGGGTTTACACTTATACGATTATAAACATCGCTCCAAATAAGCTATCAATAATTAAATTCCGGCACGAATTTTGGACTGAAGTCTAAATCCATAATGTATCCATCTCAACATAAGATTGAAGACTAAAACATTAGCTATCAACAAATTTATTTCCGTTTGCAGTTCCACTTTCAAAGTATTTCGAGGCTTTAAAAATGTTATTTACCTCTCTCCTTCATTAACATTTTCACTCGTTCCCTGGTATTTGCAACGCCGAATAGCTTCTCCAGTGATAAAACGCTCAGCATAAAAATGATACTTTGGTGTTACCCAGCCAACCCAAACATTTGCAGGATCTTGTCCTGGGAAAATTCGAATTGCGTAGTAAAATTCATCGATCTGAATATGAGAATGAGAAATATAAAGATGCCTTCTATCTGTAGTACAAATATCCTAACATAATAGAGCACTTATAAGTTAATGTATAGGAAAGTATCGTTAATGTTGCTATTTTTAAGATAAAATTAACCTTATCACCGAGTTCAATCATAGTCCTCACATCATCGCTTGGAACATTTCCGTCTATAATAACACTTTGTTCAAGAGCTGCAATCGATGGTCTCCGATGCTCCAGAAATTTTTCGTTCTTTTTTTTCCACTTATCTGACCCCATCAAACCGCGTCGGGACCGTCCAGGACCTGATTGAGGCATATCTTAAATGAAATCATTTCAAAAATTTCGATGTTGTTTTATGAATTTAATGAGATTCATGCTTTTTCTCATATCTTTTTGAAGTTGAAATAAGTAATTGCTTTATTGCTATGAAAATATTTTTAAAGAAAAATATTTCATATTTCATCTTAGGTCTGTAGGAGAAGTAGAAAGAGAGAATATGAAAAACAATATCATTCATAAAAAGTGATCAATATCATCACCGTTCTGAAAGTTCAATATTCAATACAAATTTTCAAGTGTTAATTGGCAATCGATTATTAATACCCTGGTCATCTTTTGACATGGAAGGCGGTATATTTTCTGCAGAAATAGTGTCCACACTTACAATATGTCCATCTACCAGCATGCCTGTGGTGCGTTTATTTTCGCTAGACATTCCTTCTCTGTAAAAGTTTGCTTTCATTCATTAAATGAATATATCACTAGAATTGGGAAGATAGTGTAGTAGAAAATTCCTTTACAATAGTATAGGTATCTTCTCACCTTCGTCTTTTGCATTGGAATTAATGTTGACAGCGATGGATTTGCAACATGTAACACGCAACATCCGTGCGATAAAATCTATTTTTATTTGATATGGTATTTAATAGCTGTTTTGTGTTTTAAATGTTGTGTGTTTTCGTTTTTTGAGAAGATAAATCGGTCGATAATTCACTCATCATATATCTTTCCATTATATCTTGCATATAATACTATAGCATATAAAATGACGGATGCACGTGTTGGATGACTAATTAATGCTTCAAATTAGTAAGCATCTTACTTTTTCCTTTGATGGAATCTCGCCATCAAACCGCCTCGTTTGTGTTTTCCGTCTCGTTGCTCACCAGTACTTGATAATTCAAGCATACTTCCAGACATTCTACAAAAGATTCGAAAACAATGATCGAAAAGGAGAATGAAAGAGAATATCTGAGGAAAAATATAAAATGATTTCCTTTGTTAAATCTTGGCCTATTAACACACATTTGCTGCGATATCAAAATCATATCAACTGTAGTCAGTAGTACAAAGTTCCTAGACTGCATTATTGCATCTAGAAAAGTGAAATTGCACAGAGAAGTACTTTCGGAATGTTACTAAAACACCTTATAATTTATTTCATAGAAGATCACATTGTGTCACATGGTTTGTTATTTCGTAAAGTTTGTGAAGAAAGCAAAAGAAAGCACAGGCAACAATCATCACTACAAAAAATAAATAATATCAATAAAAAAATTAAAAGTGAAGAAGTAACTACAAAAAAAAAATTACAAACAAATTCATTTGATCTGATTCGAATTCGATATGCACCTTAGTAAGACTTTCAGAAAAAAGTGCTTATCATGAATTGAAAGTGATAACATTTGTAACTTTTTTGGATAGACGGTGGTATATATTCATAGCGACGAGATAGTTTTTTACTGTGCAGCTAGAGTTAGGCAGTTCATGAATGCCCCATAACTAGTAACGCCATTATTGAACAAGTTCTGATGTGTTTTGTAATGAGATACCAAAAGTATCGTGAGATTCGGATTCATCAATTTTTATAGGCAGAAAATATTTTCAGATTTGAAGTCATTCCAAGAAATTTCTATTGATCTCACATTTAAGTATAAAATATCAGAAGATACTGCATAAACACACAAAGTTGCTTTCTCGTTTTTCAACCTAATTAATTCTTACTTACCTGTCCAATTGTCGCTTGTATTTTCAACTTTTAATATCTAACATTTGTTAGATTGAAAGAAATATCTCAAGATCTGTTAAAAAATAAACTATTATTCTTTAACTTTGCGATCATATTTCTGATTTTCAAGAATAAGTTAAAAATGCTAACACATGATTGTCTGAGAACGCTAAATTTTAATATTACTTCATCATGAAATAAAGTCATGCTATTAATTCCATGATATATAAATATTAACATTTGGGTGCATGGCTCGAGTTAATTCAGAAGTTGAGGTGGCAGTCTTAGCCTAAATTTTTTAGTTAAATTCAAATTAAAGTTTAAAAAGTTGAGGATTTCTAAAGGTTTGATGCCAACAATTACGTTGCTGCTTTCTTTTTCAAATCGTTTTTCTTTAATTTTCCCTTTATTTATGAACAATTCAAATTTCTGAAAAAAAAAAGCAAGCTTAGCATTAAACAATACCTTATGGTAGATGTTTCTGCAAGATGATGGTCACCATCAAACGATATTGGTTTTGAGCGTGCCGAACTTTCATCTTCTTCTGCACTGTGTTTGAAAGCTGACAGTAACGATCGTCCAAGTGATTTCTAAATGATTATATTCTGGGTTATAACTATTTTATAATCTACACTGCGCATAACAGCACATTCAACTCCTATGACAGTAATATTCTTTGCAATAATAACTATTGATTGCATTATACATTAATTTAACATATATCTAAGGAATCCAACAAAAAGAGATGGTTAAGTTTGATTTCATAGTGTCTCAATCTTCTGAGGAAGATAGCTTTAAGGCAATTTCATTAAAAATTCTGTTTGATTAGAACAACGAAAAGAATACGGTGAGGACGTTCTCTTCCAGAAAACAACTATCAGAATTCATCCAACCAACAGACCAACAGTTTATTGCATTTTCCAGCTACATAAGAGATTCAGTACTTAATCATAGATCACTAATCAATTATATAATTTGGTGCATCACTTTATCTCAGGAATAATATCTAATCCAACGAGCATAACATACATCTATCAGACTGAGATATCATAGATGACATGACCAGATGATAAGACTGAGAGAAACAATATGATATAAGTTATGCATGGAACAGATGTAGGAACTTGCAGACAAATCACAATACGCAGGTGCTATAGTTGAAATACTTGCCTTGTTTACTTTAGTGTCGTCACCAAATTCTTTGGGGATAGCTGGATGTCTGATCGTAGGTACAGGTTGTGCTTCTTCAGCCAATTGTTTTTCAATCTCATGCAGAGAACGCATTATTGACTCCTTATCCCTAAAATTAAATTAAACGATTTAAATCAGATTTTGTCTATCGACATACTAGCCCTTGAAACCATTAACCTTTTATATTCATTTCATCAAATCCAATATTTTTCTTTCCTATAATTCATAAATTTTAATCAATTTAAGGCTTACTTTGTAGGCTGAAGTTTCTCGTTACATTTCACAGGTAGAGACAATCGAATATACTCCATTTTAGCCTTTTCCTGAGCTGTCATATCACCCGTATCAATCTTAAATATTTCGTGGTTATTGTTGTAGCATTTCAAATATCTTGCGTTCTGTGATAGCAACTTTATATTAAGAAAGCTTCTTCAATAGAAATTTGTCTTTTTAAAACTATCATCTTTCGCTGGTCTTTCTCTGTTGCGTGAGTTCAATCAAAGGATATTGCCGGTTCAGTCTTTCCTCTTATTACTAATGTCCAGTTTCTCAATTATGAAATTATCATTTAATTTATGTAATGATGCGTGGGATGTTTTTAAATTAGAAAATATGCGATTTTTCTAATTTATTTTCCAATTTCAAAACATCAGAAAATATGCGAGAAGAATGTCCTATCAATTTCATTCATTATTAAATCATGAGAATAAGTAGTTCTTTGAAGGATGCAAGCAAGGGAGGATCTCTGGAGAAGATGTTCGCTAGCACGTTTCAGAACCATATTACTATCTTCAACTATACTGATTGAGCTTACTGATGATGATCTACAAAATATTAATAGCAAAGAAGGCTTTATATAGTTAACATTAAGATTTCCATATTATTTTCAGTGAAATCTGCTCAAATTATACTCAGTTTTACAGTGCTATTAGAAACAGAACATTTAACAGCCGATGAAACCTCTTTCTGCGTAATCTTCAAACATGGAGGATTGTTTCCGGTTGCCGGTATTCGTGAAACTTCTATTGTTGAATTTAATCCAATATCTTCAAATTGAGGTAATCTTTTAGCGTACCACATTGGCATTTGGCGATACATGTTGCTAAATTTTTAATTATTTTAAATTTAGAATAATAATAAATACTTTGAGAAAAAATTGAATTACAAAAATTTTAAAGAGAACTAAAACGGTATTAAAAACAAATATTTTTGCTTTTCTAAGGTCTTTAGAGAAAAGCAGTAGTTTAGGTACTACAAATAATTCCTGAATCTTTCTAAGAGATGATTTTATAAAGAAAAACATTTTTTTCAGATAGAAAGAAATAAAATATGCGTAACTTACACACAAAATGGCTCATATCCCTCTTGTAGACCGCATGTGGTGAAATATTTCAAGCTATTTGAGTCCTGGCCAAAATTCAATTTTGCTCTCTGTCCTGCACTAAATGTCATTGCTGGCACAAATCCATCTGTTACAAGAACATTGTCGAAGGCCATTTCTGATCCGGAAGGATCCTGCAATGAAGATAACTGAAGAAATGTAATCTCATTTTTAATTTTTGTCAAGAAGACTGATTTAATTTTAATACAGTTAACATCAAGTACTCTAAATAAAATATATTGTACGCCATTTATGGAAGAAAATCAATTTCTGGAATCGTTTTAGATTTTACCAACAGCAGTTCGCCATTCAATGAAAATGATATTGTATGATCGCTGAGATCAAGAAACGCTCCTACGATATCGCCAATTTTCCATTCTCTTCCATATGTACCAGCTCCCTGATGCCATTTGCGGGCTAAATATCTGGAATCAAACTTCAATAAAGTTAAGAACTATTTTTTTTTATTAATAAGACAAACAATAGAAACTAGAAGTGATATTTAATAAAATTAAAAAGACTCAGTCTGAAGCGTAATGGGTTTCATTATTTAGAGTTATACAAGAACAAAAAGAAAAAATAAATAAAAAATAATAAATTACCCATCAAATCCATATGACCTATCATCCGTTCCAATATCAACCGTTGACTGTGCACTTATATCCATCCAGCCAACTTTCATAAATCCCGATGTGAGCACTTCAAATTCAAAGTACCATTTCCCGCTGGAAACCGCATACAGTGCTTCGGCACGATAAGTGCGCGAAAATGCTTTTGTCACTTTCAATTCCTTTTCCGCACCTGAACCATAATTAACATTTGAATATAAAAATTGAGACCTAATTTTTGATCTCTGATTGCTAGTTTTCATGGAGAATTTCGGAAATTAAAAGCATTATTTTCTTTAAATATATGCCATTCCTAACTTGTCTATTCTAAAGATTGAATGAAGTCAGTAGATACCTTCATCGTGTTCTAAAACAGGCGATTCCAAAAAAATTCCGAACAATTGCAGGGTCTTGATAAATTCTGTAGCTGATTCTCTGTTAGCTTCTTTGATTCGCTGATCGACTACTTCGTATGGTACCAAATGTGGACTTCGTTTTTGGCTTATATTCACAAACTGCAGCAGTAAATGTTTCTGGAGAAATAATGGAAATTCGAGAATCTAGTAGAAGATGCAGGAGTATGGATCTGCTACATTTACTTGTAGAATTGTAGGATGGAAAAAGTTGAAATAATTTCCTAGAAGGAATAAACCGTATCATTTGTTCAAAGACCACTATATCAAGAATAAGACGACAAATGTACCTACCTCATTAAGGCCAAAAGTCCATCCACGACGAATCTTTTCTCTTGCCCAAACATTATGAGTATTTTTGGCCAATGCATCAATTAATGAAAACATATTATCATCAAGAACAATTTCATGACAATCCAAAGGTTGTGGTTTAAATCCATTGCTTTGTTGATAGCTAAATACCAGTATACAAGATCATATTACCATATAAAGGACTTCATGCAACCTAACATAGCACCCTAAAAAAAAGATTGCCGAAGTATGCTTATATCCTCAGAATAATGTGATCTTACTTCCGCAGTTTCTCTCTTAACATTTCAAAAAAACTCTTACTTCTGAGGGAGACGTACAGGTCGTAAGCGAACTGGAGGTTCATCTAAGATCATATGATATCGTAAAGCTTCAATTGTTCTGAAAATGAATCAATCGACCAGTGTTAGAACATTAGTAACATGAGTGGTTCTATTCTGTCAGTTTCGATGATGGCATCCCCTTTCAGCAATAACTTATAATTTTATTTGTCTTAATTTTTCTCTAACACTTATAAGCTTCTAAATATTAGATCATATTCATAGTGAGATAAAAGGAAATGGTATTACTTCATAGTGTCAATAGCAAGATTGATGTTATAAGCTTTCTCGTTCGGTGGTAGTTGTTGGAACGATGTCAGGCATGGATGACGCCGAGTTTTCTCATCCCTTACCTGTAATGAAACTTTTAAGAAAATAGCACTGAAAGAGCCACAAAATCAAAACTTAACTTTACTTATTCATAATAAATTCTAATATTAATCGACTGTTTTCACATCTTTTAAAATTTCCGAAATTTTCTTAAAAAATCAAAATAATACAATCCAGGAAACTCACAGTCCTTTCTTCGTCTTATGAAAAATGGCGCAGTAGATTTACGTATATACGCTGTTTTTGGATGTGTAAAAAACTGACATACCTCTCCATAACTCCAGCCAAGTTCAATTTTTCGCATTGCCCATAATTCATGCAAATTTTCCGCCATTTTTTCGTGTATTTCCATTGCAAAGTGAGGTAGTACAACGGCCGAGATGTCAACCAATTTTGGTACAAATGGTTCCGTGTTTTGACGTAAGATGCTAGGACCTGTATACACATTCTTCGCAATATCACCGAAAGAAACGCATTCTCCAATTTCCAACTTATTTGCTGCTGCCTCAATTAGGGCACTGAAGCCCGGGGGCGGTCCAAAGCGCAAACGTCCTTCTATACCACCGAACATGAAGCGACAACTGAAATGTGACTTCTTGTATTTCCGAGGTAATGAACAAGACATCTTCTCACAATTACACGATTAAATCATTGCAAAAGTCCTACATAACTTTCTTAAAGCAAATAATGATTTTAAATGAGTTTATGAAATAACTATTGATTCAGTTCTTCCTTTCATTGAATATGAAATATGTTTGCAAAGTTCAATACCTGACTTTGGCAGAAAGGGACATAACCGGAAAGAAAAATCCATCAATATTGAAATTTTTAAACATCCCAGCAGTTGATTGTCCATTGACTGTGAAGCTTATTTCTGGTATATTCAGATCAAGCAAACAACCAACAACATCTCCTTTTTGCAGTGTTCGAGTCCAAATAACGTGTTTTTTAGTTGCTAAATATAATTAAATTTTGTTGTTAAATATAAATAAATTTATAGCTAGTATACTCCAACAACCAAAAAAAAATTTCATACTTTGACGATTTGAATTTGAAGAAAAAAAAAAAATCTACCGCAATAAATACAACGACCATCGAATCCATATGAATAATAATCATCACCAACACCAATACAGCCCCATCTAAACGAAAATTAGCGAGAATTGTATGCTTCTATGTTATTTAAATATTGAAATCTTTCAAATATAGTACAGACTGACAGGTGACCGAATAAGTTTTGAAATAACACAAATATTAGTTTTCTGAAATCGATTGAAAGAAGTTTGAAAGAATGATAGTAACCAAAAGATATTTTCAGGGACTAGCTTACTTATTTATCAATAATAATAACTTACCCATCACCAGAGCCAGGAAACGGCTTATAGCCCATGCTATTTGCCCATCCAATCCGAAGGTATGGTTCTGTCTTCGTCATCCGCTCAATATGTTCAACTTCAGCTTCATAATACCATCGTCGAAATTGTGAACTTCCCTCAACAACACCAACTAAGATATTAGGTGTCATACTGCAAATAAAATAATTAGTCTCATTAACTAAAATTACGCCTTTTTTCCAATAAATTTAGAAAATGATGAAAATAAAATGTTAATACTTAATTACCCGAAAAGAGGTAAAATAGAGGTAAGAAAATAGATTACTTACCTTATCTTCTGCAAGTTCATTCTGGTATTAAAAAAAATAGCCTTTAAATGAATGCTTATGGGCTGATTCATTCCTATATACATCTCTTTTTGCAGAAGATATGGAAAGTTTTATTGACATTATCAATATTCTATTCCATGAATTATAATAATTCATCGAAACTTGAATGTTGAATGTCTAAAGTCCCTTCAGTTCTTCAGAGAGATTCCGCTATTCAAAAACGTGGGACTTTGTACTGATGCTTTTAATTCCAGTTATTATATTATAATTTTTACGTGAGCTAAACTTCAAAAATGATTGCATCAAACTTTATCACTTCCGTTAAAGAGCTGTGGGCAATAGATATGTATTTAAAAATCACCAACTTTCGGGAAATGGTGGAAATTTTGTATGAATGAATCGCCGTACCTGCTTACATGATCCCTCATTTTCGTTTGCAATAACAGATCTTTTCCAGGCAATAAATACTGAGTAATTGTATTCTGACTGCTTCGTACTGCCATCCCATTGCCTTCGCAGAGTGATGATAAGACATCAAGTACCTAAAATATTCACATTATTTATTAGTCATTGATATGCAAACATATTCAATGCTCACTTCAATTGAAGAAACAAGAAAATCTGCAAAAAAACTATTATCATAATATCTTAGGTTTTTTCTAAGTAATAAAGAAAGCATGACCTTAGGATCCCTTCCGACTTTCTCCAAAAGTGATATCACCGATTTGATATGACTTTCATTAATCATATTCAGCGCTTCTGGTGATTCAGTCAACACGCAGTATAGTACATCTAGTATACCTGAAGGCTATTGTTTTTTAAAAGCTTAATTTGAGCTTCTGCTTCAAACTTTTTATTTTCTACTGCTTTGAACCTTCTGCTGATTGTGGATTTGATAGTCGTCCAAATAACCACTGCAGTCGCTGAGCTGATGCAAATTGTGCGCAGTTGTAATGATTCCCCTTGATCATTGCAGCAACAAGGAGGTACAAATAAGTAGAGATTTCTTCCCACATCATCTAAATTGAATTGAACATTTAACTCTATCTCGAAACTAAATATCAAAAGTGCAAATCAACTCTTATTATTTGACAATCAGCTGATGAATAACCTGACCGCTTAACTTAGTTCATCCTATCAACAGCTTTATATTTTTATAAATATCCCTGCTGAAACAACTAAAAGTCAACATTTTCATCTAAATTTTTGTCATTGCATTGGAATCAAAAAATAACATTATCTCGACCTGTGTATCCTCATTAAGAAGTCCAGCAAAATCACGCACTGCTTCCATTTGTGAAAATTTATCAATAGTATCTAGAATCATATTCAAGACACCTTCTTCTTGAAAGAGATCTTGGCGACTCCTCAAAGCACGTAAACGATTTTGACTAGCTTCAAAATCTGAAATGAATTATAAATTGTCAATGTGTCAATAATGAAAGTCGACATGAATACTGCAAATTCATTAAAGATTAACCATCTTCATCTGGCTGTGCAAAATAATCGATCAGATCCTCCATGAGCTTCAGCACTTCGCTTAAATCGACACGATTCCAATCCTGTGCTTGTTTTCCTTCTCGTTGCAATGCTTCGATACCCCTAAGACATGACATAGTTTAAAGTTGTATGTAATATTAGCAGTTATCACAAAAAAAAAAACCGTCATAACCAAAGTACCTCAAGAATCGATTGAGTACCGATGAACATTTTCGTATGACACGAGCCGATTTTGATTCTTCTTCAAGTGCCATGAAAAATGTGAAGCAATCGTCCATGTGACCGTCTTTTAGTGCTACGGCTTTCTTTTCTTCTACTTTTCCAAGACCCTTTTTCGTTGTTTCCGATGTCTAAATAAGGTAAAATTGAATGACAATAAAAATAGTATACGCTTCTACATTTCAAAGAATTTATTAAGAAATTTCAAATGAAACTTCTCGAAGACACGTTTTTACTAGTGTTAGACGTATATGGTATATGGTTTTTTCAGTCATTTTATATTACCTGGATTTCAAAGTTAAACAATCTTGCTAAATTTTCTAGAAAAAGTTTCAGCTGAAGAATGCCATTTTATCATTTGAAGATACCTGATAAGAAAGCCATAACTCCGTTTTGATGTGCTGAATAAAAGCATTTGTTTCACCGTATCGAATTGTTGCAACACCCATTCCTTCTTCTTTTTCTTCCAACAGCTGTTTCTTTAAGTCCTAAATGCTTCTCAATTACAAGCTGTTAGATCTTGTCTAAACTTGACTAGATAATTCAAACATCTCTTGCCACAAATATTTATTAGTGATAACATTAATGCTTTACTTTAGTTTGATACATGACGAAAGCAGTTGTATCGAATTCTGCTTTATCCTTGTCGTACAGTTGAATTACATTTTCCATAACACCCAAATACCTAAAAAGGATATGGTACTCTCTCTTGCTGTAATACGCTTCTAACATTTGAAATTAAGAATGGAATTTAGATCAAACTATGCGGCATTTTATCTAGCTCAATGTTATTTTCTTTAAAAGTTGAAAATCATATCTTCCGGAAGTAATATGTCTTATCCGGAACGGTTGTTCCCAACCAACCAGTGCTCCATGCCATTTAATTCGGATTAATTCGATGCGCCAAAGTGATCTGGCTTGTGACACCGCAGCTCCACCTTCGTAAATTGCCATACTAAAGTGAAAAATTGCAGTCCGTAGTGCAATATTAACTAATTTTACTGAATGTTGCAAAATTATTAGTGATATTAGTAAGATTTAAACATTTACTTTTGCTGCGGATGCTCGCTCCAATTTTCAGGTATCGTCAAAACTTCATCGTTGCCATGAAAAAATCGTAAGACATCATTCCCAAAGAGTGCTCCTGAAGTAACAAGTTAAATTAAAAAAATTTTTGTCCTCTTTAAATGGAAATTTATTCCTAAAAAGTTCATTGGAAATTTATAAGAAGCTTTAGAGAACTGAATGGAAACAAACCCATATTTCGTATTCGTACGCTTCCTGAACTCACAGAAGTGATATTCCAAAGTGTTTGATGAAATGATGCAATAACCATGAATCCTTTGCTATGTGTCATGTGCTGCAAATCAGTAATGCGATCCCTTTGGATCAAACATCTAAGAAGATTTTATTGAGTTGCCAGTGTTTTAGGCATGTATTTCAAATATTTCTGCTCAACGAGATGTCGTGAAACTCAAAATAAGTCTCGCGAATGTCCAAATAATTTACAAATATATCAGGTGACACAGTATATTATCGTTTCCAAAGAGTTTCATTCGGGCTAGTATCATTTCTTTTTTAACTTGCATACATTCAATTACTATTTAGAAACTTATGCCACAATTAATTACTATTTAGAAACTTATAGGAGCGAAACTGTCTTAGAGATTCGAAGAAAGCTTTTACGTTGACAGTGTTATATTACCCAGTTAAGGGAATTGAGGAAGCACCCAAACTTTATAAAGAAACCAAACGTATCTTTACATGAAATTCCCAAAGTAATAATGGCTATTATTCTCTCGGTTTTTATTCTAAAACTATCTCATCGAATTTCATCTTAATGCTTCCTTTTAATCGGTTTCAATCTCTGCAACTGTTCGGCTTATTCGTCATTTGATGTAGTACTTTCAACAAACAAACCAGATATCGTTCGGTCGCAACAGAAACTAAAATGACATCATCACCCACACGAACTTTTTCCCCTTCTGATCGTTGTTTAGAAGCAGGATGAATCGTCCACCAGCACGCTTCACCTAAGCAGTACTAAATCATATTTTCCTTGGTATTATTTGAAAGACAGGCTGTTTCCTGAAAGGTTGTCTTACCAATAATTCTATGCCTTCAATTTCTTACCTTCATTATTTTCTTGTACGCCAACGTCAAACGCCAACTTGTCGTTCGATGAGCATGATGACAGGCAAGCCAGATACTGTAACGGCAATTGGAAAATTTTTAGAACATATCATTTTAATCACTACTAATCTTTCTTCTCTCTTCAAAAATTCAAATGATTATGCATAGGAAAAGTTGTTGACTAATCCATTTAATGTAATTTCTATAATGTGACCAAGTATTATATCAAATTTGTTGTAAGACACTACGAATAATATTGCTTATGGAATCTGTTTTTGTAGTTTTTGGAATTCGGCTAATTTAGATTAGTCCAATTAGCATAAGTATGTTTCAGATAAAATTAGGTTAGAGAATAACTTACCGCCAAACCATTTGAATTCTAATAAGAAGATAAATATTTTTGATGTAAAGTCATTTTTAAAGTCAATTGCAATAAATTAATTATAAAGAAAACAAATTCTGAGTTTCAGGTGGTATTGGAAAACATTAGCGATTTATCTACAAGTAAGAAAAAAATTATCAAATATAAATACCAAAATGTAAAACGCGATTTTGCATTTATTGTAAATAAGGATATGACATATTGGATATATTGTAAAACAATAGACCGAATGAGATATCTACAGTAAACATTTTAATTACTTCCTGCCCTTCAATACATACTTTAAAAGAATTGGTACTACAGTTAGCTTGTTGCGTAGAAATTCTGGAAGTTTTAAGACGTAGCTAAAGTTTATTTAGTCTAATTAGAGATTAATATCGTTTTTTAGTGATGAGGGTTCCATCTACTATTATCTATGAATCATAATTAATGTCAAATCAAGTTCAAATTATTTCAAAAAGGAAAGACTTTACGATGGACTGATAATTAATTAGCAATGAATTTTATATATTAAACCAACCATTTCACTTTGTACATGTTTGAGTTGTACTGCATGGCCATATAACAAAGTTTTGTGACCTCCACCACTACCTGCTCCTCTCTGAAATAGATTTTAATTCATCGATAAGAAAAGAAACATAGGACAAAATTTTTCTCAGATACAATCTCAGTACCATTGAAAATTTCATTCAAAGCAAAAGCTTTTATGTTTATTACTAGACAAGTTACCTTAAATTTACATAATGACTAAATAGTGATTAAACATGGGAATTAAAAAACAAAAAACAAAATCTGATATAAGCAACAGTTTACCAGTTCTTTATCATTACTCATCATTTCCTGAAGCGCTCGTACCGATAACGCATTATCGATATACAGCATGCACATAGATATATCTGCTGGAAGATCCTAAATTATCGATTTAAAAACACATGAAATATTTTATTGGAAAATTTTTTGTTTATTAAAATAACATTTCAAAAGTTATATTTTCAATTCTAAAGGTCTCTCATAAAAAAATACCCTATCCGAAACGTTTTCCAATGAACACATCCGATTGCCGAAGCCTTCGGTGCAGAGACAAACTCTTTCGGAACCGAGAACACCTTCACGACTAGCTGATGCCATACATGTCATTGCAACGATATCTCCCTGTAAATTCACGTAGACGCAGATTTCTTATTAGCAATTCATTAACGAAGAAATATTAATTAATAGAAAAACTGCAAACTATTAAAATTTCATTCACTTTTCAACAAGTACCCAGAAATAATACCGTCCGCAAAAACGAGATGTCATCCTGTTCTCCATCACCTGTTCCTTCTTTATCTGTCATTTTCGTCCCTCTTTATTAACTCGCATTAAACTAAATCTGAAAAACAAGATGTAATTACAGAAAATATCACAATAAAAACTATCAAAAATATTTTGATGTAATATGTGGTACCCGAAATTAAATCAGAACGAAGAAAGAAATTTTTAAAGGAATTTGCAGGACGAACTTGTCGGTAACATTTAAGAAAAGAGCAAAATCAATTTTCACTCTTTTTGGATAATAAAAGCTTTGTTACAATAGGAAGCAGTGTTGCCTTTTGAAAGTCTTTTGCATAGATAAATTCATATTTGAAAATGATTAAAATCGAACTTCAAAAGAGAAATGCACACTTTTCATTTTATTTTAGGTTAAGAATTTTAGAAACTTCCAAAAATTCTCGCAAACTTCAATAGATATGTAATATTTAAGTATAAGAAAAAGATGAACTGGCAGATTTATTTCATCACTGAGAAGATAGCATACCTTTTATTTTCATATTACCGCATTTATTGATTGTACCCTCTTTACCTAATTTTTTCCACACAAAATTTATTCGTGTCCAATACTCCCAATTAAAATATAAAACATTATGAGAGGAAATTATAACTTTAGATTTGCTTTTAGATGTTAGATGCAATTTCAGTATATTCAACTGTTGCGCAGTAATACATTGAAGGAAATGAAAAGATGGAATAAATTAAGGAGTTTGTAGCACAAAATTATGAATTGTTCTCGGTTAAAAAAATTCAAAAATGAATAACATAATTTGATGTCGCAATTAATTCAGTGGATACTATACAGTAGGAAATTCTGTATAAAGTTTAGGCTTGAATCAGCAAAAACAAACTTATTACTATGCAGTGCTTGTAATATAACGCTGAGAAAAGTTTGGCAACATTTTAGCATGCTAATAGATAATGCGGTGAAAATGCATTCAACATAGAATTGAGAGTATGGAATTGAAAAGAAAGTATTATTAATAGACGGAAAATTGAAAAAAGTATGTTCAATCTCTCTGAATATAAACAAAAGCAACTGGAAGTTAATAACTGCGCCTGATGATGGAAAGCACAAAAGTTATTCAAGCTATATTTTTAGCAGACATTATCTCTTGAAATTTAAAAAAGGTGCTTCTAACCGTGCTACCAAATTGATAAAATTTAAATTGAAGTATTTGGAAATTTTGCACTGGAACGTTGGAAAAATAATTGGAAGTGAACTGACCGAATGATGATGAGTCCAGAAACAGATGATGAAGGATCTAAGAGCGGAAAGTGAAAAGTCGAGGAAGAGGAGAGCTGGAGTAAGGAGTAGGAACAGAAGATGTATCGGTGTAACTCTAACCAGTTAGCTACTGAATTTCAATGAATTTCGATTAGCTTGCCAGTATTACTGCAGAATGAGTCTGTCTCAGGAGGTGTCTTGGGATAAGATAAGCTGAAACTTCTCGATACTCAATCTTTCGAGTTTTAAGCAAACGCATTGCTTTATGTTAGCATACACACAGACTCAACAAATGACACGCTAATTGATCTATACAAACACACACACACACACACATACAGATATATATATATATGCGCACTACATAGTGCAGAATTCTTGATGGTGCAAAATAAAGTGTAAACTTCGCTTGAAAGTACTGCTTTCCTCCGTTCTCAAATTTATTTGGTTATGGCATGAACAACAAGTAAAATCACGATGTTACATTCATGGATTTCAGTCAAATCAACTTCTGTAAAATAAACAGGATTAATAAAAGCGTTATTCTGACAGTTACACATATTTCTGTAGGTTTAGAGGTCTTCCGTACTTTGCGTTCATAAAGACGAGTTATTAATCAGAAATATTAAGCCGAAAGGCTATTCATCTTCTGCCTCCACTAGTTGATAAACTTATAGCATAGCTACAACGTACACCAAGCTTCAAGTATCACAGCAATTCTACTGATCATATCACATTTGTCCATTTATTGATCAAATGTGACAAACATACAGTCGGCAAGTTTCTAACTGTTAAAGAATGACCCAGAATTCAGCCATCCCCAGCTTTTTGATATATTTCCACTTGTAGATCACAGGGTCTTACATCTATATGTTACTCAGGACATAAAACACAAACTATGATATCTCGAAATAATCCCACATATTACTTTTCTCTTACCTTAAATCATGACTAAAAAACGGCGATATTTACGTCTTGAGCACAGATTATTTTCCAGTATGTCTGTTTACAATTTCTTGAAATTCATATTTAAAAGTTGGACATAATGAGCTTGGCGAGTCATAAAATGATCTGCAGAAACAATAACAATTATAAATTGAGAACAAATTGTTTCTTTTTTCTTTTTGGTTCACTTCGCAAATTGACTTATAAACTTCAAATTGTGCAACAACTAGGATTTTGGATTATTTTAGCAATCGTGCAGAAATCCAACAAGGCTTTACAGCACTGGTATAAAATGAATATACAAAGAAACAAGAATAATAATCAAAGGTTAAGGGCTAACCAATAAACATCAAAAGAGCGCAACAGATTTTTTCTTCGAACTAAAATGCATAAGAAACATATCACAATTTGACTGGACATTAAATACATCGAGAAAATGGAATATGGTAAATTTGGAAGTACAAAAAAGAGAATACAATCTTTTTTCAATTCATTGGTCAAAACGACCTAGGGAAATCATGAAGTAAAATTTTGAAAAAAAAAATTCTATTTCCAAAATAATAAACAATAAAACCCGGCTTTTCTTTTGACTACTAATCGACTATACTTCTATTTTAAAATCACTTCTACTTTTTCGATAAACAATGAAAATTATTGTTTAGCCGGCCTCCTTTTCCGATCCCATCCATCCATTGGTAACCGAAAAGTAACATGCAAACGATCTAGTATTTCTAAAAGTGCCTTCTTCGGAATCTGTGACACAGTCGAATCAGCATGAGATAAACGGTTCGCAAATTCTTCCTGCAAATAATCATTTCATCTATATTATTCAAAAAAGTCATCATTTCATTTATATTATTCACAACAAAACATGCCTTCACTGGATAATTGATGAAGTATGGTCTTTCATGAAATCTATTAAACTAAAAAAAAAAAAATTGAAAAATAATCATTCGATTGAAGGATACAATTAGATGAACTTACAAAAGAAATCACGTTTAGGCTAAGTAGATGGTTATATAAGCTTGAATTTTCTTCTTTGCGTAGCCAGTTAAGCAGAACGCTCTGCATACCTTCCAAATCCTGTAAGCAAATTAATTAAATAAACTTTAATTTAATTGTTCTCTTTATCTAAAACCTTTGTTCACAAAAATTGACTGGCTATGCAAAGAAGAAAATTCAAGCTTATATAACCATTATTTCATTTAATTCTCTTTACTTTGTTGTCACCTATTTTTAGTATAAAATATCTAGGATAAACTATTTAATATATAATATCTAGAAACATAAAAGCACTAATCCTTACTTTGGGGAGAACTGCAGACTGTTCATCATTCATACAAGATTCCTCCATGATGTCACATTCATCCAGACTTGCGTTCAATGTCTTGTCTACATCGCAATCTTCATCACTAGAAGATTCTACTTTATCGCTATTTAATAATATTTTGCTTTTCCTTGACAATGGTGTGCTCTCTAACACTGCAAATATTATCAAACAAATAGAGCAAGTAGCGCAACAAACTTTCATTCTCTGACTGGAGTCCTGGAATGAGAACTAGAAAAATTGGAATTTACGAACACTATAGATCTTCTCGAACTTACAATATGACATCTTTTATTAAATAAATTAAAAGTCATCAGTAAATGAAAGTGGGGAGACCTGGATGTGTTTCTTCATAAATTTTCTTAAGGAGTGCAACAGCTCGTTTCTTACCCATTGGCCTTATGCCAAATTTTGCCAATTCTGCCTGCAAAATATAAAGATGAAGGTATTTTTGAATAAAGCTTAAAACTTAGATTAATTTGGCCTATAACGCTCATGAAAGTTTCAAATCAAATCCTTTACTCTACAAACAAAGAAAAATGAATACGGTCGCATTCTTTAAAGAATACATATTTGCGTCTTTTTGGAAAGAATATAGCAAACAATGATCTGCACAAAAAGTTTACGACAAAAAAAGCAATCTAGCTTCTATATTTCTTCCATTATCAGATGATATGAGCTCAAAAATTAGGACGAAAAAAACCTTTAACTCCTTATCATCCATCGAATCATAGACTGGTATTGGAGTAATATTTTCTGTTTTCAGGATCTTTACGTCCGAATCTTGCTCTTTTAAGCGCCGTATGAGACGATTTATTGAAGCTTTTGGTACTGGAGTTTTTTCTACTCGTATTCTTTTCTTTTCGGGTGATGAAGAAACATTTTTCTGAGAAACGGAAGATCGATCGAGTAGTGATAATGATGACGATAAGGGAGAGGACTTTTTTGGAATAAATGAAAACTCTGGCTTACTTTCCGTTTTTATCAAAGATTTCTGCGTTTCTTCAGATTTAGGAGCAGAATAAGGTAAGATAAGGAGCTTTTCCGATGATAAATTATCTGACAAATTGTCGATTACTATCTGCCTCGAACAAGTAACTGAAGATGAAAATTCTTCATCGAGTAACGACGGTGGTTCGATTGGTGAAGATTTCTTTAACAAGCTTTCGATGGAATCATTCAAATGACTCATGGCATTTAGATTTATTGAAGCATAAGGAGTAAGAGAAGAGGAAGGAAGAAGAGCATCACTGTCAACTGTATTTCCCAATAAAGAATTATTTGGTTTAGAAGATTTAACAATTCCCTTCTCTGAAAATCCAGATTTCTCGTTCATCGATGACTTCTTACAATCAAATACCGAGTAACCAAGTAAGTCAGAACTTCCAATAATGAATTTATTACCGTTGCTATTTAGGAATTCTGATGATGATGGTTTAGCCAAATTTTCTGAGCCCCGCTCAACTTCTTCAACAAAGATAATTGATGGATCAACCAAATCTGCATCCTTCGCTTCTTCCATCCCGTCATCATAGATTTTATGTTTTGCATCTGAATAATCCTGTCTTCCTTTGATTTCGTCATTTTTTTCCTTGTTTGAAGCTTCTTCCAAGTTATCACAATTCATATTCACAGTTTCTTCATTGGAGCTTGCTCTCAATTTCGCAGATCTACAAAGTGCTGCTAAACCCTTCGGTCCATATTTTACAGCCATAGAATATACTTCTTCGCGCTCTTTTTCAGTCCAAATTACTGAAGCCGAAGTTAAAAAAGTCATATACGACCTGAAAGTCAAAAAGTTAACATTCTGAAAAACGTGAGGAATAATTCCTTTTAATAAACTTTAGAAACATTAACTAGCACAAAATACAAAACTGTGATAATATGTTAGAAATGTACAACATATCAAACCAGAAGCTAAATTACCGAAGGCATATAAAAATATCGTTACCTGATTGCTGCTCCTGAATATTCTCTCAACTTCAAAGAACCATCCGAATTCAAGTGCTGGAAAATTTTTAGTGAACTTATAAAAATGTATGGAAACTTAATCAAAGCATATGAATTCCAATCTTCGCTTTCACATTCACTATGACTATCGTCTGACTAGCAAACTCAAACAATTGAAAACAATACGAATTTTGGTAGTGCTAATCATTATTATCATTTCTAAACTATAAAGTATGTTTTCGAACAAACACTAACAACTAATCTTCGTATAAAAAAATGTTTCAGAAAAAATAAAGATTACAGCAACTTCAACAAACTATAGGGACCTGTAAAAGTGTTGGTGCTCGAGCAGCTATAATAAATCGGCAAGCCAAAAAAGTTTCGTTTTCACGTGAAAGAATAATAACATCACTGTTGCTTTCATTAAAGGTAGCTAAATCATCTGCCAGTTGTTCCAAGCTATTAAACTGCAAGAAAAAATTTAGATCTTACCGTTGAAACATAACTTACATCAAGATCGAGAAATTCAGATAAGCATTCTCATCTCAAATTTGGAGAGAACAACAATTAACTAAACGAAATGATGCAAGTCGTTCAGTTAGTTGTCACATAGTGCATTTATCAAATGATTACTAACCTTACGCACGCATATCCCTGCATTTTTCAAAACTTTTTCCGTATTCTGAATATTTTTTTTCAACATTATGCGTATATCTTCATCTCGAGTTTGGAAAATTCTAAGAAAATTCTCCTGAAATTTTAACGAGTTAAATAACATAGCGAGGCTAAATTGTCGAAACAAATTTTACAATTAATCGATCATGAGACGTATCCTGTACCAAAGGAACGAGAAACATATCACTGTGAAATGTATCCTAGAGCAGACTACAGGAAAGCTTTAAGACAGAAACAGACACCACACTGAAGAAAAACCAAATGATGCCTTAAAAGTTTACGAAAGAAGATGCATAAAATTTGCTTCCAAATGCATAAAATTAAAAAACCTGTATTCTTTCAATCACTTCACACTTGCATACACGTGGTTCAAGCTCCACAAACGAAAATGATCGAGGTCGTTGCTTTTCGGACTTCATTTTAGATAGATCCTGTGGTATCACATGCGTTGTTTTAGTATATAGTTCGCTGCAATAGTTTTTTTATAACAACAAAGCTATTTCGAACACAAGAGAAAACGAAAAAGCACTACTTTTTATTGATTACACTAGATAAAATAGAAAAAATAGAAAAGAGAAAAATAAAAACGAAATACATTTTTTTAAACAAATTAGATCAAGATTAAAAGGCTTAACAGCAAAGTTAGAAAGAAATAATCCTAAAACAATAAACATCCGTCGGAAAAGTGGACCTTCCACTCGAGCACATGCTTTTAGAAAGTGCTGTCACCAGTTTCATCTGTTCATCAAATACTGAGTGTGGTTCCTCACTTAATCGAGTAGGACGCTTTTTTATTTCTAGTTTTGGCTTCTTCAGCCTAAAACATTAAAAAACAAAGGAAAATATGACTTTTAAAGGAAGCTTGCATCCATTCCTTCAAGTTATAAGCTAATTTACTGCTCCAGTTTTGACAATTTTTGACTTTTTACATCTGACTTATTTTATGAGTTTTAAAAAGACGAAGAAACTCGTACTTTGTATGTGGAATACCATTTTGTTTTTTCGCTTCCGCAATTTTATTCTGTGTATCTAGCAGTAACAATAGACTGCTAGGATTTACGTGATGCTTTTTACCACAACGTTTAGCGTGTGATGCACGAAACTAAAAAACTTGTTTCAAAATTTATACTTGTACTTATAATTATAAGTGACTGAGATTCGCCTTCTTTTTTTGAAAGGTGAAATACAAGAACATTGTAAATTCAATCCTCTCCAAAAGAAGTAAAATGAATTTACAATGTCCTAGTATTCCACTTTAGTGGAAGGTTAATTTCAGCAACTTAAAAATTATCATTTTTCATTAATGATACTGGGAACGCAAATAAAAGCAACGAATTCAAGTAAAAGTATATAAATAAAAGCAAAGAATTCAGCCAAGACTTGCAGTTAATTATAACGAAATTTTCAGCATTAGCAGTTTATGAATATTTTACTCCCAAAAAACTTACTGGTCCTGGCTGTAAAGGTTCACCGCATATAGGACAATCCACTACTTTCTTCCACTCTTCCTTTTCTATTTCATATTTGTTGCATGCTTCTTGCTGATCCAAGCAATGATTGATATGTAACGATTTGCGCAATTCATCCAAATTTTTTAATTCCTTTAAATATCTTAAAATCAAGCGTCAAACGTATTCTGCCTTTTCCATAGTTTTTCAAAGAAATGGGAGTAAAGGCTGTTCAATTTGATGATAGCTGGCGGAGAGTATACGGATAGTAAACAGAACCAATTAATGAGGAAACAAATGTATTCAATGGAATGCATAACAACGGAAGGCAAAAATCAACCAGTTAATCTAGGAAAACACTTTTGTCATATGAGATATGCAACTTGCCTTATTGCACACGAAGCACTTGTCTTTATCACCGCCCGGTAGCAGATAATCACTTCTAATTATTGAATTTAAAATAATTTCGCTTTCTGACTTATCTTTTATTTCTCTGAAAACTGTCTTGTGGTAATGGTATTACTCTAATCATATCTCATTATCCACACTCCTTCACAACTCCGGAGAATATTACCTGTTCCCGACACAATATTTCCCATGCTTTATGACGAATATCAAACTAAAAGGACGAAATGTACAACAAGCTACAATGCTTAGTTAGTACATTTATGCATATATTAAAAAACTTTAAGGACGAAAGTTCAAAGAAAAAGAGTGATGTCACTAATAAGGCCCGTCTGTTCTTTTCCATATTCATAATAGTTACCTGGTTGGCTTAAGCGATTTCTCTACAAAATCTGAGTCGTCCATTGAAGATCAATAATCAACAAGATGCATCGATACTAACAATGAAATAGTACTCGCGAGAAGTGAGAAGAAGGCGAAGCAGATAACCACAAACCCACCGAAGATGTAAACGACAAATAGGAAATGAGAGAATGCCTTCACAGTTTAAAGGTACAGAATCTCCTCAGGACACAAGTACAAGTCCGCCAATCTGGAAGAGATATGTGGAACAGCTCCTCGAAACTCTTTCTTGATTGATTGATCGACAGATGAGTAGAAGTTACTCCACAATATGTTGTCACATGTGACTTAAGGTAATTAAGGAGAAAGTAACCGAAGAAAAAGTCAGGTAGGTGTAATTACTGTAATCGACCAATAACATTTTCCTTTAGCAATCAAAAGTAAAACTGCTTAAATGTTTAAGTTTTGGAGAAATCATAAGACTGCAAAAGACAAAAGTGCCAGTGTTCCCACTATTTATCGATCAGCTAGATGACACCACACTAATATTTTATGTGCAGATATGACCTTTGCCGATAGATCGATCGTCATCTGACATTTAGATGTATAATCATTAGAGCAGCAGATTTATTGTCAAAAAGTCAATATTCAGGAAACTATTAGTTTTATCTGCTAGAAATGACGATTATCAGTGATATCAGTGGCAACGATATTTTCAAGAGGGAAATCCACTGGTCCAATTTCTCAGGAAATTAGTGATGTTTATAGTAATAGATATGGCGAAGGTAGCTTGAATGATTTCTGCTGTTGTTGTAAGGATGATAAATCGAATAATGACGGACATCGCTATTCCTACCTGAAAACTATCTATTTAAAACGGCCCCATAAACTGATTTATAAATTCTGTGCCTTTCAATGGAAATTCAAAAAAGTAAGATACGAGTGAAAACTCCAAAACAAACTTCAGTAAAGATCGCTTGCTTATTTTTTTATGCTTACTACGTTTTTATACTTACTAATTTAACTTATACCAACTGTTTTCTCATAGTGCTAAATGCTATTCTGTGTGTCATGTGTAAGCACAACGGAAGATTTGTGAAGCGGAATGAAAATTAGAGTAATGCAAAGCATGTAAGGAAACATTTCGATGTCCATGTCAGGATAATTTCCCAACACGAATACGGAAGAGAATTAATGTAATTAAAAAGAAAGATACCATTGCAGTATTTATGAAAAATATGTCGTTCACAGCTGCGGCATTTCAAAACATAACGCTTTGACCTATCGTATTGTTTTGGTCCAGCAATTATATGAACTGTACGTCTGCATCCTGATTTATGGTGATGATTTGGCGCTGATAGCATTTTGCTGGAAGCGTGGTGTTTTCTTTCTAGAACTTAAGAAAAGCTTTAATGGAAATATAGCATTCACAAATCAGAATTTAATCTGAAATATGCATTATTGATGTGAAGTGTGGGTTATGACAATGTTCACTTTGTTAATGTAACAATATGAAGACAAGTGGTACCATTAACAGTGGACGGCTTTATGCGGTGGCGCTTTTGGTTCCATTGCTCACAAATTCCTTTGCAAATGCACTTTGGGTATGTGTATGCCTTAAGTTGATAGAGTTAAACAAGTGATCAAATGAAATCAATGAGGAAAGATAAACTTAGATGGATATCTCAGTTTTAATAGCCAATGCCAGTAGATTTCTCAATTTACTTCAACATTTTCATGTAAATGAAAATTTTTTTATTAGTAAATTTAATTGAAATTATAAATGTTTATTATAAGAGTGTTATGCGAATGAAAGTAATGTCACCGAAATATTTCTAATAAAATTTTAGAACAGCGAAAGCATTAAGTAGATATACAGATTTCAGATATATACATCGGTTTCTAAAAATCTTTACAGATCCCAGGACAGTCAATCAAGTTTCTAAATACTACTGATTTGAAATCAAGCGATCTAAACTTTATTCATACTTAATCTGATAATTATTCTTTAGGAATAATCTGCTTATAAATAATAAATGATGATTAAATCAATTTGCAATATTGGCATCTATGTCTGGCTTCACTGATAGGTCAACAACCTCAAAGAGAAAGAATAAGTTTTGTAATCCGGCATGTTACGAGAATACGTAAATTCAACAGAATAAATCAAATCTCAGAACACAAGCACACTAACGTTTGATTTAGAAAAATTTCTTTCCGGTCGTAGTCGCTGATGGATAGATTTTGAACAACGAGCTGTCTTCTGACAACTCTTAAATTAAATTATCAATGTTAATTTGGCCATCAGATGACCTTATTAGGTATGAAAAGAAGAGATCCTACTTCAATCCTTGTCTATTTTTTCATTTTCTTAGTCTTATTTGAATGATTATATTAGAAAGTTGGAAACAGTTTATCCGACTAACTATCAATAAATAATTCAAAAAAAGGAAAAATTTTCTTCGCAATGAAACAAACACTGTGAGATATTTGAGTAGCTTCATCTTCTTCATCTTTTGCCGGTCCATTTCTATGAGTTTTACCAATTCTTCCTGATTTGTCATTAATTTTACACATACCACCACAGTATAAATCATTTCTCTGAAAAACTTCAAAATAAAATATTCCAATCCTTTAGGATATTAAACATTTTGAAATTTTCACAAAACTGCAATATTCTTGAAATTTGTGTGATGCTGGACTACAGTGATCCGATACAGTTGTATGAGATCATCTGGAAATGACCAAAAGAAATACATGACAAACTGACCATGAGTACCGGTTAAAGTCAATCATAAATAGTCTAGGTTGATGTCATTCTATTTGATAAAATGTTCTTGCCTTAAAAAGGACGTTAACTTTAAAAGTTATTTCAGAAAACATTTGTTTCATACCATATTTTCATAAACATCTGAACAGTGCTGACAGTAGTCTGAACAGTGCTGACTTAAACTAGAAGGTACTGAGAAGTAGAAATTTTGATTGGAACAAGTCGGATGGTAATATTCAGCTTCTTCAGCGCAATGTTGAGGTATTAATTCATTACAGTGTCCTCTAGTTAACTGAGGTTGAGTCATGTCGCGTGTTAGCAAAGAATCTCGTTTATTTCTCGAGAAATTTTGAATACTTCGAGAACTGCACAAATTAGGTCTGGAATTTTTCGATGCTTGTGACTTTTCTACTTTTATTTGTGAAACGTCAGCAGGTGGTTTTATACGTAAACGAGAAGTGTTTTTGGAGTTGTTTGCTCTATCCACAGCTTGTGGACAATTATAACCAGTAACCAATTCGTCCGTGACATTTGTTTCGTCCATTTCTTTACACACCGCAGTCGATCCCAACAAACTTGGCTGGGCCACTTTTGATGCTTTTAGTTGTTCATAATTTTGAATAACTGGCTGAGTCTTTAACAGACCCAACTCTTCATCAGCGTATTCATTACCCGTTTGTATATCTATCTGTAAGAAATCTCAAATTTTATCTCAAGTAACTTTTAGACAAGTAGCATATCATTTTCTTATAAAATTTCCTGAAGAAGATATCTTAGCGTAAAACATACAATTTAAACAAGGCACTTTGTAAATGGCCAGCGCTATGCATATTTTATCTGTTGTTAAACTTCAAAACATTAGGAACCAATACAAACAATTACACTGATATAACAGTTCCAGTAATAACTGAAAACTAATAGTAAGGGCAAACCGGTGAGTCCATCTTTCGTTACTAATCAGTTAATGAGCAGTTAAATAAATTCCAACAATTATCAATGAACGTCATTGAGTCTTATCAAGACTTTTATTTCATTAAAAAATCGAAGTTTTTTCAGATTGAAATTGCATATGCAAAAATTTTTTTCTGAGTTCTTTAGAGGGACAGAGAGAGAGAGAGACAGAATGAAAAGATTGTTTCAAGGACGAGGGGAGAAAAAGAACTCGCAAAATATCTTTAATAAATGTTCAAAAACATAATTAGCATAATTTATAGAGGTCAGTCCAGTTTATAACTTCATGTCATAGGTTAAGAAAAATCAATGACGTTAAATTTCAAACTCGTCTTCCGTCCAAAGCAATCATGAATTTTTGTTTCTTATCGGTGAACGATGAAGTGGAAAAAAATTGTACATGGGGACGCTCGATGATCGGATTAGTTGTTGTTCTGGTGTAAGTTAATATAATCCGAGAGAAGATAGCTTCGTTAAATTTTTGCTAACAAACAAAAGGTCTTCTCAATCCAATAGGTTATTAAAGCTACTTCACTGAGCAAATTATGGTCTGAGTTAAATGTCAGCTTCTAGATCAAGAAGGCGAAGAAAAAGAAACAAAAATAGTTCTTTTATTTCCACCCAGTTAAAACATTAGCCGAAATCTCCCAGCAGAGTCATTTACTGCGATGCTTTAGACTTTCACAAACTTAACGAGATTCGTTTTTACAAAACTGGACTTTCATGAGTTATATTTACTCCGACTTCTTAAGTTTACTTCATATATAATAGTTTGCGTTAGGCCCTGAAAAGTTTATGTTACATACGCAAACTTAAAGGAATGGTGAATTTTCAGATAAATATGAAAGAAGAATAGCAATTCGTTGAGAGGACTGAATTTCTGTTGGATCATAGAGTCGATACGTTGGTACGCAGTACCGAAGCTGTTCAAAACAGAATTTATTTGAAGATGGTAAAGAAAAAGGTTTGAATCAATCCGATGGTTTTGTAGTTTCCATAAGACACTGATAAAAGCAACGAATCATCGTGCTACAGTAATTACTACTAAACTATTATATAAAGTAACTTAAGAAGTCGAAGCTATTTCCGGAAATAAGGAGTCATGAGGAAAAAGTCATGAAAAAAAAATTCCATTAATGTCAACAACATATTTAAATTTTTTTTTTTTCTTTTTTTTTTTAAAGAAAACAACAATTTGTACAGCAATTTGACGTCTTAAAAGCTTCTAAGCAGACCAAAACAACAAGTAATTCAAGGCATCATCAATTTCACGTTTTTCATTCTCAACTTGTGTAGTAGCACCACTATCGAATCCTTCACCACCACTTACTACGAACATCTGAAAAAAAAGACAAGAATGGAATGTAATGAAAGCAAATGATATTGGATTAGGGTTGATGCCTGCACTTACCGATAAAACAACGATTCTGTATTTCGAGGAAAAAGTTAACCTCGGATGCATATTCTTGTACATGAATTGAGTACAGTAAGATTTTGGCGTGTTGGTTTGAAGAGATTTATAAATATGTCTTTATTTATCCCTTAGATAATTAAACTAATCATCGCAACGTTGTGATGTAAAATGTCACCTGTTCAGTTTGTTGTAATATAGGAGCACTAAGTGACATTCGTCGACGTCGTAAATCGAACGATGGTGTTGCTGTGGCCGATACAGCAGTCAGAAATCTGCAAGGTCCAACATGTCCTGCTTGGCACACTGAAATGATCGGAGTGTTCTTTAATATTTCTTTTCGTAAAAAACGTTTATCAATTTACCAACGGCGCAGAGCTTCAAAGCTTTCTGTTCATAGTTTTATATGTGAAGCAGAGACACTAGTTCGATTTTTCTAATCATAAATAATTCTCAAAAAAGTCCTTTTCGAAGTGATGTTAAAGTAAAAATAAAAAAAAAAAAAAAAAAAGTAAAAAAAAATAAAAAAAAAAAAAAAAAAAAAAAAAAAAAGTAAAAAAAAAAAAAAAAAAAAAAAAGTAAAAAAAAAAAAAAAAAAAAAAAAAAGTAAAAAAGTAAAAAAATTTAAAGTAAAAAAAAAACTGATGTTAAAGTAAAAATGTTAATTACTTGTTCTAGAAAAATGATTCATCATGTACTATCTAAAGAATCTGTGACTAACACCTTGTATGACATTAAAACTTAATGCCTCCACTTCTTTTTTGGGCCATCTGTTCAATCTGCATAGAGATATTTACTACTAATATCCCTTTTTCATTCCTATTTTCATTCTTCCGGACAAAAGATTCTATTTTCAGTTCTTTCTACCCAAAGTTATCCATTTATCACCAGTTACTAACATAAACATTAACCATTACTTTCAGTTGAAATCGAAAGATACCATTTAATGAAGGTGTCCAGTTTAACATTTTATTATTTGGAATGAGTGTGTTAATAACGATACCAGCAGAAGTACCAATCCAAAGACGACTGTTACAACATAAAAGTGATGTTATCCTCAAACATCCCATCTTATGTTTGCGAATAATATCTTCACTGCCTGTAGACAAAGTTGTTGAACGAAATGGGATCATAAGACCAATATGTTGACATTTCTCCCCTAATAAATCAGTATTAAAATTTTGGACATAAGAATTAAAATTGATTAACAGTAGGCTTGGTCGTGTGTTAAATCTTATCGCTCAAAAAGGAACATAAGCCCAAACTTACTCGACAATGCCTTATTGACGACATGTGAAATACTAAACTCTTGTTGGCAATCCAAAGTAAACGCATTGATTACTTTAACAATCGATGACTTATTCATGGCTACAAAAATTGTTGAACCGAGTACAGCCATGCAAACTACCGTCTCCATAGCACTTGTACTTATTGCTGCTTGTTTCTTTAATGACCAAATTTCACTTTCCGTCCAAAATTCAAAGTTAAGAAATGAAAATCTATCCTGCTTACCTTCATCTTTGATCTCACAGTCTTGTACTATAATAATTTTTCTTAAATTTTTGCTTTTAACTAATTATCTGGAACCCTTCTAAAGAAACATAAAGTGAATTTCGCACATGTCCAAAAAAGAAAAACGAACATTTTAAGAGTTTTTTAAGCTATGAAAAATAAAATTTGAAAAAACTTTCTCCCTTCTTTTTCTGAACTTCTCTTGTCATCATATTATTTCCTTGGCATTCTCAAAGAAATGCTTTTATTAAACACAAACTTCAATTTGCAAAGTAGAAGCATTTAACAGATAAATTGAACTGCCAGATGCAAAACAAAGTCTTGAAGCAGCAACACTCATAGGTCTCAAACGTCTGCGAAAATTTACATGAACTGATTTCGGATTATCTAAATCCCATTTGCCTTCTGAAAAGAAGACAGTGATAAGCAGATATTAAGGAGTTATCTCTTATATTCACTAATAACTTAGCCAATACTACTCACTAAGCTTTTCCCTCCCTGACACTATTCAGTTGTCTCTCATTGACTACGAACGTAATACATTAGCCTGATGAAAAAGCTAAGATTATTTTCGGTATTAATATAATTGAATTCAGGCAATCAGTGCTGGAAAATTCAGGTAATCAACAGGACTAAGATTTTTACTTTATCTATTATATATTTTAATTGTTACGATTTTAAATAAACAACATAATATATTTTATAAAAGTTAACCATTATTACTAATGTACATGTTCATATATATTTGTTATCCTAATATTTACAGAATTTGAAATATCGAAATGAATTACTAAAACCTTTATTTCTTTGGAATTGTAATAGTTTAATGTGTGAATTTGATGAGATTGAAACGAAAACTTTCTCTTCCAAATAAACGATGTCGTCTACAGGCATCGGAAGTCTGATCATCCTTTCACAAGCTTTCAATCGGACGTTATCCAAAAGATTGAAAACAAATATTCTGAAACAAGTAATAGAAAACAGTATTAAAACAAGTATTTAGATGTAGGAAGATGTGATGTAGAAAGATGCGCATTGTATTTTTTGTTAATTTCTTTTTTTAATGATAATCCCTCTGGTAAGTCTTTTTTTTTTCAAGCAGTGTGATTCAATATGAAAGCGAAATTAATAGGATTTAAATTAGTAAAGCTTACTTCTCATATTAACAAAATGTTAAGAATAATAATCTTTTCAACTAATCAAGCTATTATTTGATGCATCACTGAGGAATACCTTAGCATTAGAATGTTTTTATGATAGAATAAAAGTACTTGCTATTGAAGTAAAAATAAAGAATTGTTTTCTAAATAGTTTTTTTCTTCCAAGAAATTTTGTTGGCAATTAAAAAATTCTAAATTTGAAAAATTGGTTCTTAGAAAATCAGTTATCAGTTAACCTACTCTCCATCCTCATTGCCAATCCAAACAGTAGATTGAATATTTCGTCGAGCTGTTTCAAAATCCGATTCACCTGATTCCGATGAAGTGCTAAATGTAAGATACATTTTATTCCTTCTCGTCTGTCACAATTTTTTAAAATATCCTGTCGAACATCCTGAAATCTCAATGTCATCCATTAGAGTCGTAAAACAAACCTGTCAAGCTCTAAGCCGGGTAAATCTTTCAACGACGAGTCGACCAACTTTGCTAATTTCCTTTTTTTCCTGAAGTTAAATGGGCCTTTTATATGCAATTCCAGTAATACAACATCTATGAAAAACATATGAAGCAAACAAAATCTTTAATTCTACGGAGTACAAGTCACCATTAGGTCAACCAATGATACATGGTCAATTTAGAAGAAACCGGGGAGAAGGTTTAAGAAAAACAAGTAATACCTTGGAGCGGGTACGGAACAGATTGCAATAATAGCTGCATTACCAATGCCTGTAGTACTTTCTATAGTCGGTTCACCGTTTACGTTTATGACAGTAACTTGACCGGAAAATTTATCTGATGCGCAGACCCAAACATTCGGTGCTCCTTCTGCACTCTTCCCGAAAGCTGCCGCTGCTACAGAGAACTAAAATTCAAAAAAGTAATTCATACTTAGTCGCAATTTTTCGATCCGTAACAGACAAACTTGAAAAGTAGTCATTACATCAATACAACATTAATCACATGACATAAGACTTAAATTTTAGCACAAAAAATGAAATTAACCATTAGCCCAGGACGAGTTCGATGTGTTACAATTGATTTCAGGTGATTCGGCCTTTCTTCATTTTGCATTTCATTCTCTGCAAGTGATTTGAAACACAGATAACTTTAAAAATTGGGTAACTAAAAGAATTCACCAAGAAGAAACCATCATGGGAAACAATTAGGGTAAAATAATTCAATGAGTAATGAGCACTTAGAGCAGTCTTTGCTTTAATCAACGCATTCTCCCAAATTGCGCGTCGATCGGCACTGGGAAACTGTATTACGAGTACGCCAACACCATTTCTGTAAACAAGTGCAATTTACTTCCTTTGCAATACAGGATATCACATCATCCAGTAAATGGCAGTAATCCCATATCTAATTTCAATAAGTTAATTTCGACATCTAATTTTGCTATCAATTTCTCTCTCTCTCTCTCTGAGTTTATTGCTTATTATCATTCTCAAATCACAAAAATGAAAAGAGATTGGATTGTTGCGACCAGAAAAAACTGTCAATCTACTCCATTTTTCCGAATTAATTAAATTATATAGTAAAATAATAAGGCATAAGTAGGTCAAGAAAAAATTCAATGATGATCTGAAAACACATTTAGATCGAAATTTGGAAAATCTTCCAGGGAAACTGGCAAAATTTAACGCAGAATTGTAATTGGGAATTTGAAATTTTAGTAAAATAAATTGAAAAAGGATGTGGGAAGAGCTTTATAGAATTGCTCAGTACGTTGTTGTGACTTGCAGCTGCACTATGGTTAACAATGGATCTGATGTCATTTGTTCCTGAAGAACCCGTTTTCGATGCATCGTTTCAGTCTCGAGATTGTCTAACATATTAGCTAATTCCTGGAAAAATGTCTTATATCACTAGCAAGATAAATTTATAATAAGGCATAAGAATCTATTTCGCACTGTTTTCGTCTCATGTTAATAACTTAACTAAAAAGATATCAACGGAAATGATTTCGGTTAGATTAGAAGATTATATATACATCAACCAGAACATACAACATTTGGTTTCTTGAGTAACTTTGATAATTCAGTCATTTTATTCACAATGTTTATATCTTCCTGAGCATTTTGCAGTTCCATTTCAGCCGTATGCAGTAATGATAAAGTATCTGAAATATTCGTAATTATATGGAGTAGAATGAGTGAATAACATTGCATAGTTAGTAATATATAAGTCAAGGGTTAAGTAGCATCTTTTCATTTGTTTTTACAATTATTGTTCATTACAGTACTAAAATTTCTGTATTTTCATACTTTTATAAATTCATTGCAACACTGATAAACGTATTGTCCAATCTTTGGCTTCTAATTTGGATAATGTCATTTAAAGCAGAGATTTGACAGCTTTTTTTATAGAAATAGCAAGAGAAATTGTCACCTTTAGCAATTACAACATCATCTAATGAGATCTTGAAAAGCAGCTTGAAGCGATTGTTATCTAAGAAATCTGATGAATGAAATCTGAAAATTTTAACTGCTTTCTCTTCTTAACAAAACTCATTGGTTTACAAACACAAATATGCTTTCAATTCACTATTCGAAACTAAAATGAGCATGCAAGCTTGTCAATACTGTAATCAAATTTAACTAGACTGGTAGTTGTTAATTCATACTGCAAGTGAATTCTACCTACTTTCCAAAAATCTTTTCTTAATATTAATAAATAAAAACTTTTGATTAGAAAGGAAAAGTTTGCAAACTTCTGGATTTGACATGAGATATTACCCATACTATTTCAAACTTCGAAAATGAAACTTTTTATCTCCTATTACAATTTGATACTTACGAGGGTGATGATTTTCTCCTTACATTTGTTACGATAATCTGATCAGACATTAGAAATAGACAACGCTGTTTGTTTTGCTTTGCACCCAAAATCGTCACGACATCATAACGGTTAAAAGACCGTCCAGTTGTTACCAACTGAAAATTCATTTATCAAATTATTTAATCTCAAAAAAATAGATAACGAGTGAAGAATAATTTAATTAATATGGGAGAGTTAAATTAATAAAGGTTGCGACACTGACATCATCAAGGCCATCAACAATGGCTTCAATTTCACGTAGTCGTTGCTCCATTTCTTCACTTTCTTCTTTCTGTCGATTAATTTTAGTTGCCAGTTCATGGATATATTTTTGAGCTAACAATAAGCTATCATAATCAGCATGCTCCACTGATGTATGCTTGATTATTTGCTGCAAAGAGTCTTTCAAGAAAATTCCATTCATATATTAGGACCGATTCATTTTCACCCATTCACATGAAATGTGATTGCACTACTCAGTGTTCGAAAGAAATCAATGACACACAATCTTCCGAACACCTAAATTTACAAGGAGCTAACTATAAAATGTTCAAAGTACAAGAATTCCAACCTTTACAATTAATTCGTAACGTGGAACTCGCTGTATAGGTGAAATAAGTAAGGAATCCAAGTCCAGTTTATTCCGATGATCTCGTCGACACCGCTGAAAATTTTCTCATTTAACAAGAATTTAAGCCCTAAGTTTTGATCTAATTTCTAATGTGGCTTGAGCAAAAATAAAAGAAAAATGAAAATAAAAAGTAGTGTAAGATTTAGTTGAATTCTGTCTACTCGTCAGTACAAATGGTGCTTTTGTCTCCACTTTTTCCACATCATGACAAAACCTGTAGGTCAGATTTTAAAGCAGCAAAAGCGCAATGAGTAGAAAGAGCAAACGTTAAACTACTTAAAATGAAAATTGACCCTTCCTTTTTTTGACTATAAAAACATTTTAAATTACCATATAATACTTTTCGAATGCAGGACGCTCACGTGCTTGTTTTATACTTTGTTTAGAAAATTTGAAATTATCAACAAATGCAATGTATGTATCAACCATTGACTGCTTTCGAAACTGAAACCAATCGTACTTATTCCTTATAAACTACTTTCTCTAAAAACTTCCAAAACTGATTGTCGCGCTTAGGTTAACCTCTTCCAATCTAAGTTAACCCAGATAAATGATGGACTTATAACTATTTTAATAGTTATAAGTACGTACAGTTCACAGAACATAGTTATTGTGTCAAAAGGATTAAGAAGCTTCTTGATTAAAGAGTTTTCAAAGTCTGTCTTTAAATATTAATAAATAATAATTTTTCAATTCTCATTATTTATTTCTATAGATATCATAACATTTCACTAAGTAACATATTATTGTTAAGGCTTATATATTTAAAAAATCAGAAAATTGCTGTTATTTCTTAATTTATTTTAACGTACATGGGAAAGAAGCACATCACCAATTCTTGTATCTGTTTGAAATGCATCTAATCTATCACACAATGCTGCTAAAAAGTGCTGAAAATTGAGAAAAGAAATTTTGCGTTATAAAAAAATTTATAAAACGAATTTAATTCAATATTTATTGAAAAAAAGGAGAAATTGTTTTCAGACATTGGCTGTATCAAGAGATAAAAAATTAGATATATAACGCAATGCAATTTGAATCCTTATATAATTAAATTCGTACGTTCATCAAGAAGTTAACTCTTGCAAATCTCAAGCGAGGAAATGATCCATGATGCTGGATAGTAAGGCTTATCATTTCTGACAGCATGATTTAAGATGCCAGGAAATGACAGAAACTACTAAAGACGGAACAGCAAGACTGAAATGATAAGAACTAATTCAGAAGAAACAACCTGATGGTGAATTAGGATTTCTGGAACTTTGTAGAAAATTTTATCAGCTAGAATGGGATCTATCAACGTACACTCCAGTGGCTGTCGTAAAGGTCGCATATACTTCTATAATGAATAAAAACCTATCACATTCTGTCGTTAGAATTACACTTTAATCATAACTACTAAAATCTTTTAAAATAAGAAAAAGAAGTGTTCAGGAGGTTTTTTATTTTTTCAAACATTCTTATGGATGCAAAGTCGAAGTTCTGATTTAAACTTTAGACTCAAATTCATGTGTAACCTGAGTAAGATATTCCAAGTCTTCAACAAAGGTTTTTTCAGTATCGCAAAGTTCCCTAATAGCCATATTGCGGACATCATTATGTCTTCGAATCGATGCCCGAGAACGTTTGCTCCAAAGTAACAAATCAGCTTGCATCATTGGATTAGTTAAACCACTAGAAGTTTTTGTATAAATCAAAGGATTCCTGTAATTTAATTCGATGTATCCTTTCTCGTGCGAAACTCTTCATCTTCTAGAAACTGAAGATACGATTCAAATATTTCAACTATTTATAACTGGAGGAAAAACAGACCATTGAATAACTGACAGCATGTCGTACATCCGTGTACACAATTTTTTTATAATTAAATTAAATTAAAACAGAAAGGACTTTTTTCAAAGTAATACCACTCGAAATTCAATTCTTCTTTTCTTAAATAAGTGTGTAAATTACAAGATTCTATAAAATTTTACCATGAGTTGGATGTTTGAGGTTCCGGTGAATTTTGTCTGGAGGAGCGCAATGATTTCAGAAGTTTTGAGAACCGACTAACACCAGTTAGTGAGTCCATAGGTGATTTTTGTTCAATGATTTCAGCATTTTTCGATGAATACTGAAGATTTGGAGTACCACTACGAAACGACCACCTACCGCTCTTGCAAGTATTGCTGAAAATGTATAACATTAATGTTGCAAGTCTGATTGATGGAGAACAGAAAAATCTTCCACCTAAAATAGATCAGATATCAGCTATTTTATCAGCGGACAGGGAAACCCTGCACTGAATTGGATTCATCAAAAAACTCGTTTGAAAAATTCTTCTCCAAGTATTATTCATCACAGAATATAATAAATAAGTATTTAGAAGTAACAGAACAAAAGTTTACTTCATTGCTGCTGGCCCAATAATACCACTAGAATTACATACCTGAAATAAATGAAGAAATTGCTTTTAATATACCTGCAATGAGAGACATCCAGTTACTACTTGTTGAGTCACAGTTAGACCAACTTCAGTTAAGTGATAAATTAAGAGCAATTTCTCAAAATGTTAAAGTAAAAGTCTAATAGAACCTGGTCATATATTTCTGGAAGAGAAGTTTTCCGTCGTAACAAACTTTTTTTGTTTATTGTCTTATTTTTATTATACGTGTCATACGTGTCCATTGCCGGGAAAAATTCGGTCTGTTTCGCAGATGGAAGAAACTGGATGACGCCACGCGGATGTCCACCTAATCTTGACGCAATGCCGGATTGACGAAGACTTTCCGAGCTAGAATCTCCCTCCACTGGACAATCGGTTCGCCTATCAACCATTTCGACTGGAAAGGAATAGAAATTATAGTAAGAAAAACAACTTAATTAATTAATTATGGTTGCATGGATGAGAATGGATGTGCACATTATGATTAATTAAGGGAAAAAAAGCGGTTTGAAGAAAGACACAAGCAGAATTGGAGAAGTGCAGGTTACAGCTTATTGCAGAATTAGTTCAGTAATGGTTTCATCCTACCGGATTAAGTGAGCTATGATTAGAGCAAGCTCAGAAGCTTCTTCTGAATACAAAAGAAGGTTTTTGGCTTCAATGAATCAAATGGTTTAATTTTCTAATTCAATGAAAACTTCCGAAAAGTGAAAATTTCAAATTCAACAACGATTAATTTGGGCATAAAGAAATAACTGCCAGATACTCCAATAAATGTTTGATTTATTTCCTTAAATAATATTGTCCACCTATTTGCAATCACTGATTAATATAAAAAAGTACCGTTTATATTCGTTGATTCCGGTGGAACCTTCAGAACACGTTGTAATGATTGAATACTTTGGGCAGCATCACGCAACTCTTCGATGTCTGTATTGATGATATCATCTTCAGATTCTGTTTCGTCCATTTTCGGCATTAACTTCTGCCGATGAGGCTGCCAGACCTTGAATGACTTTTCTTGTATGTTTTAGTGACATAATTTGAATATAACAAAGAGGACAAGTTAAAAACTACTAATGGTTTTAGATATTTTGATGAATTTGCATCAAAATTTTAACATCCCTTATTCATATAATAATTTCTCTACTTGTTTAGATGTTTTGCTCCTGTTTTCTTGAATGTATTTATTTCCTTGTTCCATTTGATGAGACAACAACTTCCGACTTTCCAACTCACTCACCTCATGTACACTTGAACTCTGATTACAGGGAGAGATCGGGAATAAGTCCAGCAATTGGCGTATAGCCTCTACATGTGCCTGAAAGAGCCTAGTGCAATATTTGCATAACTTATAACAATATTCCTCATGTCTTGACAGGGAAGCGAAGTGAATCGCAATGCATCATATAATATCATTGGTTCTAGGAAAAAAAATTTTATCTTACAGGAAAGTTCCAGGTGTAAGATAAAAAAGTACTGAAGAATGTATAAATGTGTATACTTGTTGTGTTTTCTCAAAGCTTGGCATACTGTTTGTTTTCCGTAAACTATCTTTGTCTTCATATCTTCGAGACATGTCTGAAGAATCAAGAGATAACTTAAAATTCAATGGAATGATTCATTTCGTCCTTTACAATCTTGTTAACATAAAAAATAGTGCTAACCAGATAACGTGAATAGATGATAATTACAAGAAGTATCATTGCTTTTTTAAAATTTTTTACTTTCCATTAGCATTTTATAAATTTTTCCCGAAAATTTCATAATCATACGTGATTCGTCAGGTCGTTTTAGCGATGGAGCCTGTTTGGGCGATATCAAATTCATTTCAGAACGCCGTCTAAATAGATTTATTCACTTTAATAAGAAAATTATTCTCTAATTCCTGATTAGCACCAAGTGATGCAACTTCTTAAAAAAATATTCTGCCAATAATTGTACTTAGTTTTGGTAGAGTTGATGATCCTTAAAAAGGCATTTCTTTCAGGATTATGATGATTCTAACTTTATTAATATCAAAAAGTTTTCCGCAATAAATTGCTTATGAAAAAAATTGCCACAAATACGGAACATTACATCACTGTGAAGTTTAAATAATTGCAAGTATAACATTATTTTTGCCAGATCGATTCAAAATTTCATTTTGTTGGGTTAACTACTCTAAAATTAAAGTCAGCTTATGCTGTTAGTATGGCTACAACTTTTTTTGCTCCGAACTTAGGTCTATGTCCCTAACAAAGAGCTATTTTGTGTAAAAGTTGCAAACTTAAGATACATATCCTGAACTTATGAGACATTAGATTCTACTTCATATAAACTATTCAATCTCTGTCCATTTTAATATTGTGATGAAATGATTAAATTTTATGAAATATACTCAATTTTCAAGTTTGAATAACAATGCAAATATAAAGTAAATGCTGGTGCTGGAAAGTGCTGAGAATCATTTCTGAGTATTCTAGCATTTTCACAGTTGTGCGCAGTTTTCCGGAAAGCCTATGCTGATAATGGAAATTAAACCTGCTCTTGGAGTGATGCCTAAAACGAGTTCCTGCTGCAGGTGACACAGTTGCACTTCTCCTTCTGCGCAACGGTTTGTGATAGTTAGATTCATCAGACAAGGAATCCGATTCATCTGCTTCATTCTCTGTAATTCCGGACTTCTCCATTATACCTGCCGAATCTAGGAAGGAATTGACGTTACCCACTACCTGATCGGATTTCCCACTCCCTCTCCGTTTAAGCAAAACTTTTGTAGCTGAAATAATGAAGAATTCATTTGTTAAGGCTATGTCAGATAGTTTCATTCAAGGTAGTAAGAAATGGTTCAATTTCAAGAAATTAAACCTAATTTTAACCAAAGACTGCATAACATCCAGTAACTCAGGTGTTGAACAGCAACTGATTCCTCAACGAATAATAATCACAGTTTTGTTTACTGTTTTTTTTATATGCTTGAGAAAATGTAGTTCATTTCTCAGGTTGTTTGAATTCAATTTATTTGTCCTATTAGAGATGAGCGGTAGATTAAAAGTGAAATTTAAACAAACTAATAGAATTTATATGAAATTGACATACTCGGAAAAATTTGGATTTTACTGAACTTTCCCTGAAGTTCAAAATATCTAAATTACAAATGATGGAGTAATACTGATATAACATCACCTGCTTGGAAAATTGCTGGCAAAAGAAGTAATATTTAATTAGTTAGAAAATATTAGTTAGTAATGACTTTGAATCAGAGGAGAAGCGCCGAAACATTTGGATTGAAATCGTAAAGAGTTACTTCGAGAAGAGATTTATCTAACTATTCATCCAGTCAGCGACATAGCTATCCCCTTCATCACCCATATAACTTTGAGTTCGAGATGAAGCCTCTTACCTCGTCACCTGATGTTTGGCTTTTGAATACTAACAAATGATTTGCAGAGTCCTAATCATATCTTCGAGCTTTTAAAAGTTAATGCAAGATAATTTCAAATGAACTTCAACAACACATGCTAACTCCAGTTTTACAAACTAAATTCGAAATATAAAAGAGAATTCCTATTTTTCTTTTTTTTTTAAAAAAAAAAGAAAATTGCAGGTATGACAGTTGTTTTCAAGAAATGAAGACCTTGTCATAAAATCAGAGATTATTCTACAGAAGTATTACGGATGTTGAAATATGCTGACCCATTAACTTATTTATTTAGAATCTACTTTGTTGCTGATCCGTTACATTCAAGCATCACAAGACAACATAAAATGTTAATGCCTGTAACTGAATACTCATTCATAGGCCATTTTATATATTTTTTATAAACAAGAACGAAAAACTTGATCTTATCAACAATGGAAAGTAATGATAACTTTGCAATCACAACATTTTCGTCAAGCTTAAAGATATATAAACTGAATGAGAAACAATTTGCATTCACTTCAAAAACACCTGAATATATAGATTTCGGATTGGATATCGTGAAGATCAATGGATGATAAGGAAAAGATCAGGAAAACAGGACAGTTCCCGAATGAATAAGACAAGATGATAAATCATTAAATAAGAAAAGATAGCGAATTCATTTAAACTACAATCCTATTAGCTCTAACATATGAAATAGATATGTGAGTGACAACTGAGATGGAGTAGAGATTGGCAGGAAGGCAGTGTCGATCGGAGATCGGAGAACGAATATTTAGAATCTTATTTCAAGAGCGCATAATGAATGATGAATGAGATTACGGAAACGTATAGATGTGAAGAAGATCGTAGGAGTAACAGACTGGAAGAAGCAACTTTGCCAGGATCAATCACAAGAGATGAGTCAATGGATAGAAGATGGGCTTGAGGAAAGTAGTACTCATCATGTAGGTCAACTGATCTAGTAGTGCAATTGTGGAACTAATTCTGAGCGAGAGCGTAAAAGGTGAAAGTTCACAGCGAAGGTCAGCTAAGTTCCAGTTAATTCATGAGATTAGATAGGGATAAATATTGTAACCTTAGGATTTTTCTACAGTTGTCATCATTTACAATCATCATGAAAAGTAATGGGATGAATAATGACCATCCTGAATATTCCGTTTGTTTCTTTCACCTCTTCTCTGGAAATAAACTGTTACTGATCACAAATTAAGCGAAACAATTGAAATTAATTTCTTCATTAATTGATGGAAATTCGCTGCTCTTTATTGAGTACAGTTTTCTTATATTAATTGTTTATAGTACTTGTACCAAAGTCCAGATATTTTTTCTTCCTTTACGGAAATGCTTAGCAGCTGACCTTACAGGTTTAAAGAATAAAAATACTTTTTGACATCCGAATATGTCAAATAAACAACAACAACAGCAGCAGCAACAACAAAGCTCATAAGAATTGCCCAAGTAACACTTCCATGAATAATAAGATAGATCTGATTTTATTCTTAAATACTTCATTAACTGTACTGAATGATTTCATTTCTCTTAAAAAAGAAAATATGGCGAGATGAAGCGAATCGTTGAACAGTGTATCCATCAAAAGAAAAAAAAAAATAAAACGACGGGCATATTTATCGCCTCACATCTTCACTCCTTATCCATCTTTTCTCTTCTCTTTCGCAGTATTTAAAGCTTAGTTCCGTTATCCTTGTAAAAATCTTTCCTGTTCAGTTCCCTTTATACTCATTCATTTCTCATTGAAATCATACTAAAGTCAGATTAACAATCTTTGTCACAGAACTGTTACTTGAACTAGCCTAAGCCACCCTGATAGTCATTTTCTCCTCCCACAATTGGAAATGTAATGGTATTTGTAGATCGATATAATGACATGGCGTATGCACTCATACAATTCATTTTTTTTTTTGCATATATTCTTTGATAGCTCGAATAATAAATTAGGAAGCAGTTCAAATAAATTTCCATCATATTAACAAGAATACAGCTCAGAACCCTCCGAAATAGTTTAAAAGAATGCATAATGAACTGATGAATGACTTCGACAGTATACCATTTCAATAAGACCCAAATCTGAATTTGAACTTCAAACATTTATCATAATTTTTCAATGGAATTCCAACGAGAAATAATAGTTCTGAAGATAAAAGGATATTTGAGAATTAGAAATGTGCACGTATGCTTCCAAATTCATTAATTTTTCAGACCGTCTAGATGAACATTATAAGAGCATATACTGATTATTGTAATTGCTCAAAGACATAAAAAAATAATGACAATTTTATAATTAGATATTTTAAAAAAGGTTTGAAAGTAACATATGTAATTAAACAATTCCCAAAATCGTAAGTTTTCTGATCCAATATCTAGGCAAAATCAAGATACACTAAGTTCACATACTAATTCGCGTGGCGAGTAGTACCCCGTTAAATCTTTTTTTATTTTAATAAGATGAAACAATACGAACCTATATATCTAATAAAACAGTCTGCATAAGAGTATAATATATAAGAACGGCCTCTAACTATAATAGGTTATCAGAAAATTATTACCAAGAAACTTTTGTAATTGGTCACGGATAAAGGAAACAACTTTCTAATGCAATCCATTTCAGCCTCAGAATAAATCCATCAATCAGAAAAGGTAGGAGAAATTTACATTGAATAAAAAATTGAAAACTGTAAATTGCTAATCATATATTTATAAAACAAAAAAATCGGATAGAAATGAAAGCATATAGGTTTATTATTTGAAAAGAGTGCTGCCATCATTATGCAAAAGTTCACTTTCATCACTGAGGTTCAGAGTCTCGCAGTCTTTCTCACTATCCACATTTGATAGCGAATATCGCTGACGAAGTATCGTTACCTCCGACATGTCTGATCTTCTTCTACCCTACAATAAAATCATGTCCTTTCTAATTATGATGCTTGTTTCACCACAATGAAGAGAATGATTAACTGTTTCATGTAAAACGGCTAGATCTACTACATTTGCAAACCACGACTTTCTCATTTTAAAAGTCATAACAAATTATCACCACCTGAGTTTGATTCGAACAGCAAGGTACATCGTGATTAACATCACAAACATCCAACATAAATAATTTTTGACCACGAAACTCCTGGATTTCGGAACGTAAAGTTCCTGAAATGTCATCCTCGCGTAATATATATTCCGGAAGGGAATGGAACGACCCAATTCGTCGCTGCGTTTGGATTTCTAAATGACGCACTGAATCCGTCAAGATAACTTCTGGATGCTATAAAAATAGGAAAAGGAAACAATCTCGAACAAGTTTTGTTACTTATAAATAGGAAGTGGATTCGACGAAGTCCCCCAGTGGAAAAGTCGAAAATCTGTAGAGTAATTTGGCATACTTGAAATTTTTAAGTTTCTCACTTTCACAATTTTGCAAAAACAAAAAACAATATTAAGCGATATAATATTTTTATATTACAAAAAAATTTCTGTACTGGCTATGATTGAATCAAGTGTATCGAGTAAAAATTCAACTACCACTCAGAGATTTAAACTGATCAAAAAAGAAAAAGAAAAAAAAAAAAAAACCACCAGCTGCTTGATTTCACCGATTCTTGCATGCATATAGTGAAAAAAAAAAAAAAAAAAAAAAACGAAATATGAAAGTAATTCGCACAGGGTATACAATGTTTTATTACATAAGTATATAAAAGTTTACTGATTTTGTGAATGTTTGACACTAGTTTCATGGAACTTACTGGTTTCATGAATGATTGAGAAGGATTATCAGCAAATTTCGCCACAAGCTTATTCAAATATTGCTGCTTCACTTTGTATTTACGCATCAAACCCAAACGTTGGTGCAAAGAGAACATTCTGAGACGATTTACTTGACGCTCATAGCCTTCCCAAAGCTGTTCAACTCGTTTCGAACCGTAATCCCGCAGTTTACACATCTTTAAATAAAGAATTTACTGTTACATTATATGTTAACTTTCCAGTGTGTACGACAAGCCAGAGATATGCATGATTATCAATGTTACAAAAAGCTTTAATAGAACAGAGAAGGCATTTGGCATGGGAGTTTGTCAAAGTATAAGTTGTTGAATTTATAGATGAAGTTGAACCTATCTACAAACACTGTTTAATCCGCAAATAAATGTGCGATGTATTAAATCGTTTATGAGGAGAAATTCTTCTCATAAAGGATTTAATTCTACTGAACTGAATCTGTGATCAATAGCAAAGAGCTAAACCAGTAAATAAAAC